CTCGCCGACGCCGCGATGCACGCGCTCCACGACGCGGGCACGCCCGCGCTGCTCCTGGCCCTGTCGGCCATCGTCGTGTCCTGGTACCAGATTCTCGAGGAGCGCGCCAAGGCGCGGGGACTCACGGGCCGCTGCCTCGCGGCGCTGCTCGCCGCGAACGGGTTCTACGCGCTCTGCGCCCTCGGCCTCTCGGCGGCGGCGGCGGCGGGGTCCGTCGCGAGCGACGACCGCGACGCCGTCGCGCGCGCGCACCTCGCCTTCTTCGCCGGCGCCTGCGTCTCGCAGGGGTGCGCCTACGTCCACCTCGGGCTGCGCCTCGGCCGGCGCCTCGACGCGCTGGGGCAGGCCGACGAGCGCGTCGCGCGGCTCAAGCGGCGCGTGCGGACGCTCCTGCGGACGACGGGGTCCGGCGCGGTCGCGCTGGGGGCGCTCGCGGCCGCGGGCGCCGCCGCGACGGACCTGGGCCCGCGCGCGGCCTTCTACCTCTTCCACGTGGCCATGCGCATCGCGGAGGTCGTCGTCGTCGGCGTCACCTGCCGCCAGAGCCTCCGGCCCCGCGACGACGCCGCCGCGCGCGAGTCCGACGACTTCTTCCCGCTGACCTGGGCGCGGCTCCTGCGCTTCTCCGACTACGTGCGCCACTCCGCGGACGACGGCAAGCACGCCTTCCGCCTCAGCGACCTCGTGCTGCCGCCCGAGCCCGCGGGGGGGTCCGACGGCGTCGAGCTCGGCGAGGTCGCGAATCCGCTGCCGGGACGGGGGGACCCCTTTGACGAGGGCGACGTCTACGGAGCGCGCGAGGAGCAGCCCGTCGTCATCGTCAACCCGACCGCGCCGCGCGCCGGGGGCGACGAGGGCCCGGCCCTCGGCGACGAGGGCGACGTCTACGGCGCGAAGGACGACGACGTCGTCGTCGTCGCCAATCCCGCGTCGCGGCACGCGGCGGACGCGGACGACGGCCCGGACCTCGGCGACGAGGGCGACGTCTATGGGGGCGACGAGAAGGAGGACGTCGTCGTCGTCGACAATCCCGCGGCGCGGCACTCCCGGGGCGGCGACGACGACGTCGACGTCGACCTCGGCGACGTCTACGACGACCCCGGGGACGCCGTCGCGGGCGCGTCGTCGCTCGCGCGCGAGTCCCACGCTAATGCTTAGCTATCGGAGCAGCAGGACGAGCAGGAGGCTGCCCAGCGCCGCGAATCGTCCGCGCGCGCGACTCGCGGCGGCGCCGTAGACGCCGTCGCACTTGAACTCGCACTCGCCGTTCCAGTACTTGTCCACGAAGAACGCGTACTGGCATTCCACGTAGTCATGGAAGCGAGCGACGCAGCCGGAGCAGCAAAAAAGCCTGTGAGCTGGCCGTGGCAGTCCTTCCAGAACGCGGCGGAAGTTTGGGCCGCGGCGCAGGCCGAGACCTGCCCCTTGTCGTTGTACTCGAGAGGCGACGCTTCGAACGCGGCCGCGGGCGCGTCGTCGTCGCCCGTGCAGTTGTAGGCCCGCATGCAGTCCGTCGTCAGTTGTTTGATCTCCTTGCAGACCGTGACGTCGGGATCTTCGCGCGGCGGGTATTTGAAGCTCTCGAAGCCCCGGTATTTCTTTTCTCCACGGGCGGTGCTGTTCTTCTTTGTACCGACGGGTTCGTCCACAGTCGAGACGTAGCTATAGGAGTACGAAGCCCTCGACGGGCCAAATGAATAGCAAGAGAAGTTGTGTGAACCACTCATTTCGTTCACAAGGTGAAGTCTTTAGTGCCGCTTGTTCACACGCCCTCTCCGCCACTCACGCCTCTACAACACCGTGAACGCGCCGCTCACGCCTATGCGCAGCGCTTCCGTGTCGGGATCGGCTGCCCTGCTGGCGCCTTTCCAGGGCTTCCAGCGCGTCGAAATGCCGTCGCATACCTTCCGCGCCCCACGGCAACTCCCGGGGCTGCCCCGCGGCCTTGCCGTGCGCGACGGCGGCGTGTTCCTGTCGTCGTCGTGGGCTGCCTCGCGCCGACATGGACGCCGCGGCCGACGACAGCGACGAATTCGTCGTGTGCCTGTCGCCGCCGCCGTTGATGCGGCTCGGGACGTCGTCCCGAGGCCAGCCTCCAAGTCGCCGATGATCCGCGGGGCGTCTCGTGACGTCGTCGCCGCGCGCGCCGCAACCCCGCGGCCCCGAGCACAAGCCCTCGCAGACGAGCGGCGAGGAATTGATCCGCATCGGCGCGCCCATGTCGTCGAAGGCGTCCTCCGGGCCGCCGATGACGTGGTCCACGTCCGTGGCGCGCGGCGAGACATCGTTGCCGCGCGCGGCGGCGCGCGCGCGCACGGCGCGCGCGCGCGCGCCCATGTGTCGGCCGAAGATCCACGACTATGTGCGCTTCGAAATCTATTTCGCACGCAGAACAAGACGCCGCGCGTGTCCAAGAGGCTACAGCCTCGTCCGCGCGGCCTCGGTGCAATCCTCCCCGCGCGAAGCGCGGTAGAAATTTTGAGCAGCATCTTCGAAACTTCGTCGTAATCGCGTAGTTAGCTGTCCATGCGCCTCCGCGTGGCGGCCAGCTCCGACCCCGCGCGCAGCGCGCTAGAAAAATTGGAGCTCGTCGTCGCAGCTGCGCGCGCGCCGGCACTTGCAGTCGTGGCACACCGCTCAGGGACGGCATCGTGCACTCAAGTTCGGATCAAGCAAGCCTCCTACTTTCCCTTTCCTTTCTTTTTAAATCTTTTTAAAATTCCCTTCTCGTGCATCTGTTCCCGGCCCTCGACGAACGCCGGATGGAGGAGGAGAAGGCAGCCCCATCTCAGCACAGGTTCACCACCACTTCATCATCATCTTGTGCCGCGCCCGCGGTCATCATCTGTGGACGCCGTCATTGGCATTAGCAGTCGCACCGCACGACATCGGCAGCGCGTCGGCGGTCGACGATGGCCGACGCCGACGCACCGGAGGAGGAGCCGCCGAAGGTCGACGAGACGCTCCCGCTCCTCGAGGACATCCCGACGGCCGTGCAGGTCAAGCAGGGCGAGGTGCTGGACGGCGGCGGCTGGCGGCCCGTGCGGCGCGAGCTCGTCGGCTTCTACATGCAGCGCGTCTCCGCGCCGCGGAGAGAGAGAGAGAGAGAGAGCGATCGGTCACCTCGGCGGAGCGCAGGTACTTTGCGGTGGGCATCGTCTACGGGGGCCTGCCGAGCACGATCTACGGCTTCTTCCTCGGCTACCTCAACGTCGAGGGCTACGTCTACGCGACGGCGGCGACGATCGTGAGCCTGCCCTGGTCCTTCAAGTTCCTGTTCGGCGCGATCAACGACTGCGTGCCCCTGTTCGGCTACCGGCGGAAGCCGTACATGGTGCTCGGCTGGCTGCTGTGCTCGACGGCGCTGCTGCGGCTCGCGGCGATGCCGCTGCCGCGGCCCTACTGGTGCCCGAACGCGGCGGGCGACGGCTACGTGCGCACGGTGCACACGTCGTCGGGCGCGGAGAGCGCCGAGCCCTGCAACCCGGAAGCGGCGGAGATGGGCGGCAAGTACGCGTTCCTGATGATGGTCGCGTCGCTGGGCTACTGCATCGCCGACGTCGCCGCGGACGGGCTCACGGTGTCGCTGGCGCGCGCCGAGCCGCCGGAGAAGCGCGGGCAGACGCAGACGACGGTCTACCTCGTGCGGACGCTCGGGAACGTCGTCGCCGTCGCGATCGTCGGCATCTGCATGAACTCCTGGAAGTACAACGGCTCCTTCTCCTGGGGTCTATCGTACTCGAGCATCATGGGCCTGTTCGCCGTGCCGGCGGCGCTCATGGTGCCCGTGTCCTGGGCGCTCGTCAAGGAGCAGCGCGTCGTCTTCGTCGACGAGGTCGAGCTCAAGAAGGACGAGGAGGACGACCTGCCCGCGCTGCCGGACGGCGCGGCCTACGAGGCGAAGCGCACGTTCCGCCAGTACGCGGCGAACGTCTTCGAGCTCCTCCGGGGCCGCGCCATGCTCTTCGTGATCCTGTACCAGTTCCTCACGCCCATCGTCGGGGGCGTCTCGACGACGGCCGGCGGCGAGGTGAAGCAGTACTGGGCCCACGTGAAGACGTTCCAGAACGCGTGCTTCTCGCTCGTGGGGCTGGGGCTGTTCGCCGCGGGGCTGTACCTGGTGAAGACGCGCTTGCTGGACCAGAGCTGGCGCCACATGCTCCTGGTGACGACGGTGTTCCTGAACGTGGTGGACATGCCGTTCACGTTCTGCACGATCTTCGACGTCGTCCGGGACCAGTACTTTTACCTCGGCGAGACCGTGCTCGTGGAGATCCCAGCGGCGGCGAACTTCGTCGTGTCGACGTTCGTCATCGTCGAGATGGCCGAGGGCGGCGACGAGGGCATCGTCTACGGCCTGCTGACGACGACGGCGAATTTAGGGTCGCCCTTCGCCCAGGCCATCTCGAACCAGATCTTCGGGCTCTGGTCGCCGTCGCTCTCCGACTCGTCGAACTACATCGAGGACGCGCCGTCGTTCCGCAACTCGGTCGCGCTGTCGTTCGCGGTGTCCTACTTCTTCGCGTTCGCGTCGCTCGCGACGCTGCCGCTCCTGCCGAACCAGAAGGACGAGGCCCAGGAGCGCAAGCGCAAGTGGGAGAAGCGCGACGCCTACGCCTACGTGTCCATGGGCCTCGTGCTCGCGGGCCTCGTCTACTCCGTCACCGTGAACTTCCTCGCCATGTTCCCGTCGACGATGTGCCTCAAGATCGCCGGCGGCGAGGGCTGCGGCAACGACGACGACGACGACGACGGCCGGTAATGCTTAGATTCTAGGGCGGGAGGAGCTTCGCGGCCTCGTCGAGCTTCGCGGCCGCGTCCTTGATCTCGGGCAAGGCGCGGTCGTAGTAGCCCGCGGCGACGTCCGCGCCGGCGCCGCGCCCGAGCACCGCGAGCTTGACGAGGTCGCGCGCGTTGCGGTACGACTCGGCGTACTCGACGGCCGCGGCCATGAAGTCGTCCGGGTTCGACGCGCTCTTTTCGAGCTTCTGGAACGTGACGAACGAGATCGCCGTCGGCAGCCTCGCGGAGCCCTCGGGCAGGCCCGCGAGGACGCCGGACCGGAAGTTCCGCTCTTTTTCCAGGATCTCCTTCAGCTCGAGCTGCGACGCGCGGACCTTGGCCGCGTCCGGGTTGCCGGCGGCGAACGCTGGCAGCGCAACAAAGCTGCTGCTCGCACCGACGAGCGCGGCTCTGCGCGTCACGGGCGCCAGCGCTGCGGCCGTGGCAGCGTGAATCATAATCAGCGTCCGCAGCATGGTGACGAGGTGGCTGGCACGGTCGCTTCGGCACCCGCTTTCACTGGTTGCGAGTTGCAGTCGATACTCTGCCATGTTGACGCTCGGCGTGACATCACTTGGTTGACTCCAGACCGCCTCGCCCAGGTTTGGGCACGCGATGCAGCGGTTCCAGGACTTGGCGCGGCGCTCGGTCTGTGGACCATGTCGCGCCTCGGGCCCGGCTGCGAGTCGCTCGGGAAAGACCATCGGTCGAAGGCGAGCAACTTAGTTCGCGTCGGGGCAGCCCGTGGATGTCGAGAACGGCCGTTATCGGTGGGCGGCGACCGACGAGGGGCTCGCATTAGTGTTGAGGTCCGAGACCTGCGACCAACTCCGAGGAAACACCCCCTGGAATGTCGCTCCCGAGGGGGCTGTCCGGGCTTGGTCGCAGGTCTCGCCTCATGCATTGCGTGGTGAGCACCGTGTCGCCCGCGGCGCCGCGCGCCTCCCGGAGCCGGTGAGGTGATCTCGATCAAATCCACTCGAGCCGAAGAGCTGCCGCGAGGGCATCTGGTCGCCCCCATGACGAACGATCCCCGACGCTCTGTGACTCGAAGGGGACCGAAAATCGGGTCGGGGGAAGCTGCCGCGCCTCATTCCACCCCCTGGGGCTGCCCGTTTGCGTCGCCTCGCAATCGTCCGGATGTCGCGTCTTTTCATGTGCCTCACCCACATGTTTGCGGACCTCAAAGCCACTGGGATCGTTGCACGTCGCTGCATATTCGAGGAGCACGGGGCCCTCTAAGGTGGAAATTCCATCATCGGCCGCTGAAATACTCCTGCGGAGACACCGTCTCTAGCCCTCTAGAAGCTAGGATTTCTTCAAAGTTTGTCGTTGCTTGCAAAAGTTCAAGCGACGGGGTATCCACTGCAACTCGCAACCAGTGTTTTGGAAATCCAGAGGCCATTTGTTTGACGCTCACAAAAGCAAAGTTTACCCATGTTTTGATGGCTTCGGACGAAAGCACGCGGTCTCGGACGAAAGCACGCGGTCCGACGAACCTCGAAGAGACACGCGATGGGCATGTAATCAACAAAGGCAGCCCCCTAGCGCCGCGCGCCTACCACGGCGCCCATGGCCCCCGCGGCGACTCCCGAGGCGCGCAACAAGGGCTGCACGCTGCAAAAGAAGCGACGCGAAACGAATTGCAACTCGGCGAGAACGGGTGGTTTTAGGGGGTCCTGTGGGTCGTGATCGGGCCACGCGACCCGAATTTGGCTGCCTCGGACGCGGTGCAGCGTCGGAGATCGTTCATAGACACCCCGGGTGCCTTCCGTCGCGCGGGTTTGGCCGTGGAGGCCCAGGTTGTCGATAGAGAGTGCCCCGAGGTTGTGCGCCGCGGCCTCGCGCCGCGCCGTCCCGGGGCCGGAGGTCGCAAAAGTAAGGTAATAAAAGTTGCGGAACCCATTCCTGGTACCATGGGGCGGCCAAAAACGCTCGAATATTACGTTACTTCGACGGCGCGCCCCTTCCAGCCCACCGCCGCGAGCGCGGACGCAGTGTCGCGTAACTCGGCAAAGACGTCATGAAATAGGACCGCGTCTTCGACGACGCAGCCCGCAAGACGCGCGCGCAGGGCGCCGCCGGCTTGGCGCGGGCCGAGCGGCCCGCAGTGGGGCGGCACGGGGCTGCCGAGCGGAAGGAGTTCTCCATAAGACCGAGTTCCAAAAGCTCCTTGATATCAAGCGGCCGTGCTGGCGCCGGAGAGGGGATCTGATCTCCGGCCTCAAGTTCGTCGACGGCACCTGGACGTCCAAGGCCCGCGCCCTCTCCCACCGACTCGAAGACGACGCGCGCCGCCTCGCGGACCGCGCCGCCCTCGCCACCCTCACGACCAACCTCCGCTGCGACGGCTAGGGGGCGGCCTCCGGCCGCCACCTGGCTCGGCTCGCCAAGGTACCCCACGAACCCCCCTGGATAAGCGCCAAAGCACCGGAGAGGGGAGGGCGCTGCGCGGCATCAGCAGATTCTTGAGGCACTCGCCAGCACAGAGCACACGATGCGCGCCTCCCTCCTGGCCCTCCTCGCGCCGCTCATGGCGTCGGCGCTCGTCGCGCCGTCGGCGCGCACCGCGCCGCGGACCGTGGCGCGCATGCTGCCGCCGTTGCCCGGCGGCCCCATGTCGCCGGAGCAGATGAAGCAGGCCGCCGACGCCATGAAGAACCTGACGCCGGAGCAGATCGAGATGATGCTCGGCGAGGTGGAGAACATGGGTCCCGCCGAGAAGGCGCGACGACCGCGTCGCTCACTTTCGCGCGCGCGTCTCCGCGCGCGCGCGCGCGCGCGCGGCCGTCGAGGCGCGCCCGGCCGGCGATGAAGAAAGCGAGCTCCCTCTTCTGATTTTAAAAACCGTGAAGCCACTCGCGCATCCGGAATCACTATGTTGCAATACTTTTGAGCCGACGTCGTCGCGCGTGCCCGCACGCCCCCGTGTTTCCGAAACGCTCCGCCACGCGCGTTCCCCGGGCAGGAGCGCTTGAAGTCCATGGGCGTGAACCCCGACATGCTCAAGATGTCCATGAAGGTCATGAAGGCGAACCCGGGCGTCATCAAGATGGCCCAGGAGCAGATGTCGAAGATGTCGCCGGAGCAGATGCAGCAGGCGTCCGACATGGCCGCGAAGCAGATGGAGGGCATGTCGCCCGCGCAGATCGAGGCCATGGCGGCCGAGGCCGCGAACGCGCCCTTCACGCCCATGCCGTCCGTCGTCGACGTGCCGGCGGCGAGCGCGCCGGCGGCGCGCGGCGCCCGCGACGCCGCGCTCGTCGACGCGCTCTTCACCGTCGCCGCGGCGATGACGCCGACGGGCGCGGTGACGCTCGACGCGCTCAAGGCGCTCCCGCCCCTCCAGTCCCTCGCCGGCGACCTGCCCGACGACCTATCGGCCGACGAGATCGCCGGCTGCTGGACCGACGCGGGGCTCGCGGTCGACGGCGCCGCGGACCGCGCGGGCTTCGAGCGCGCCTGGTTCCTCCTCGACGACCTCTACGACGACGACCTCATGGTGGAAGCCCGGCGACCCCCCAAGGTCGCCAAGGCCTAAGACCATGTGGGCGGGGTTCGAGGGGGGGCGCAAGTGGGGGCGCGTCAACTTGAAGGCCGCTGGTCATCGTTTGCATGCCTTCCTGAACCTGGCCACGCGATGGCAGCCCTCGATGCCCCCCACGTGGTCCTCTTCAAGCCCACGGACCTGCGCCTGCACGACCATGCGGCGCTCCTCGCCGCGCACGAGGCCGCCAGCGTCGTGCATCTGCTCGTGCTCGATCCGCGCCTGGGCTTCGGCGCCGGCGCGGCGCCGTCGCGGGAGGCGGGCCTCGCGCGCATCGAGGGCAAGCGCGCGACGTTTCTCGCCGAGTCCGTGGCCGATCTCCACGCGGCGCTGCAGCGACGCGGCTACGAGCTGCTCGTGTACCGCGGCCCCGCGGAGGCCGCGGTCGCCGCGGTCGCCGCCGCGGTCGCGCGCCGCGGCGACGCGCGGGCCGTCGTCGTGCACGCGCACGGGCCGGAGCTCTGCAGCGAGGAGCGCGCCGTCGAGCGCCGCGTCGCGGCGGTCGCGGACCTGCGCCTGCATTGGGGCTGGACGCTCGCGCACGTCGACGACCTGCCGCCGGAGACGCGCGGGGGCGCGGCGACGCCCGAGCGCTTCAAGCCGTTCCTCCAGGCCGTGCAGCGCGGCAAGGGCCCCGCGAAGTACCGGCCGTCGCGGCCCGAGCCGACGTGGCGCGCGCGCGACGCGGCCGCGGCCGCGCCGCGCGGCGGCGGCGCGTGGGGCCTCTTCGCCGCGGCCGCCGTCTGCCGCGCGGGCGTCGCCCTCGCCCCGGCGAAGGGCGGGCCGCGGGGCGGCGAGGCCGCGGCGCTGGCCGCGCTACGTCTGGGACGACGAGCGCGCGAGGAGCTACGTCGGGTCGTCGGACTCGATGACGCCCGGCGTCGACAACGCGCTCAACTCGACGACCCGCCTGTCGCCGTACCTCGCGCACGGCTGCCTGTCGCCGCGGAAGCTCTACGACGAGGTCCGCGCCTACGAGCGCCGGCGCGCCAGGAACCGGTCGACGCGCGGGGCGGCGTCCCGCGGCCGCGAGCGGCCGCCGCCACCGCCGCGCGCGATAGGTACTGGATCTTCCACGAGCTCTGCTTCCGCGACTTCTTCGCCTTCTCGTGCGTCAAATGGGGCGACGCGCTCTTCTCGGCGCGCGGGCCGCTCGACAGCTCCGGGCACCCGTGGCGCGACGACGGCGGCGCGACGCGCGGCCTCTTCGCGAAGTGGACGCGCGGCGCGACGGGCTACCCCTTCGTCGACGCCGGCATGCGCCAGCTCGCGGCCGAAGGCCGCATGCCCCACCTGCTCCGCCAGCTCTGCGCGGCGTTCCTCGTCCGCGACCTCCGCGTGCCCTGGCGCTGGGGCGCGGAGTGGTTCGAGGCGCATCTCCTGGACCACGCGCCCGACGCGAACTACGGCAACTGGGGCTACCGCATCCTGCCCGTCGCCCAGCTCCTGCCCCTGGAGACGGACCATCTGACGTCGCTCGAGATCCTCTCGTGGCCCGTCGTCCACGACCCGCGCCTCGAATACGTCCTCGCCTGGTGCCCCGAGCTCCGCGCCGTCGCGGAGACGCGCGGGCCCGTCTGCGCGCGCGAGCCCTGGCGCCTCGGCGCCGGCTACGCGCGGACGGCGCGCGTCGACGTCGCGCCGAGACGCGATTCGCCGCTGTGGGTCATGTCCGTGAATCGCGCCAACTGGCCGGACTACCAAAAGATGATGACCGGCACAGCGCACACCCTCGCCTTCGAGCCGAACGACGTCTACCCGCCGCCGCTCGTGCCGCCCGTCGAGCTCGAGATCCTCTACGACAAGATACCCCTGGACCACTCCTGGGGCGCGCCCGCGGAACGCGCGCCGGCCGCGCCGAAGCCAGCCGCGGCGTCGAAGCGGCCCGGGCGCCGCCGCGGCCAGCGGAAGCGGCGCGTCGAAGGCTAAACTGACGTCTGCGGGGTCCCAGAGGGATCTCGAACCGAACTTCAAGGTGGGTTGTTGGACTAGTTATTGAAGGGGATGTTTACCTCCGCAGCTTGTGGTAATTATTTTTGCGATGGTCTTGTGAGGCGCAGCAGCCATGAAGCGACTCGCGCTCCTCCTGCTGGCGTCGGCCGGCGCGACGCTCCACCGCGTCGACCCGCAGCAGACGAGCCACCAGTTCCTGGAGAACCTCGCCACGGCGCCGCGCCGCGACCACGTGCCCCACGGCCACACGGGCCACACGGGCCGGGCGCGCGCGGCGCGCGACGCGGCGGCGGCGCGGCACATGGCGAAGATCGAGGCCGTGTACAGCGCGAACGTGAGCGCCAAGAGCGTCTACGGCGAGCGCGCGGACCTCTACGAGCGCGGCCACGGCGGCGAGCAGAAGGCGAAGCGGCTCGAGAACCCCAAGGTGCGGGCGCAGTGCTCGCGCGTGCCCGTCACGGAGGACGCGCGCAAGCTGCGGGCCCAGAACCGGTCCGTCGTCGTCGCCGTGCAGGCCTTCACGCCGTCCAAGTCGAACCTCTGCGAGGGCAGCCGCGTCGACTGGCGAGAAGGCGTCGCGCAGTGCCTCGCGAAGCTCACGGGCCTCGACGTCTTCGTGCGCAACGACGACGGCACCTGCGCGGACTGCGCGCGCGTGCGGCGCGTGCCCTGCGGCGACGTGCTGTCCAAGCCCGCGGGCCTCTTCGTCGTCATCGGCGGCGGCGACGACCGCCAGCTCCAGTTCCACTGCGTCGGAAGCTACTGCGGCTACCCGCACGCGCCCGTCGTCGCGACGACGGGCGCGCACCCGCCCCACGACTACGTCGGGGGCTGCGCCGTCGCCGCCTTCACGAAGGCGCGCGTGCCCTTTTTGCACGGGCCCCACATCTCCGCGACGGCGGACCCGCCGACTAGGGTCGCGTGGTTCCCCATCCTCAACCCGCACACGGAGGTCCGCGGCATCTGGGAGCGGTCGCTCCTCTACGCGGGCCTGGGGGACGTGCCCGCGGACTACGCCGGGCCGCCCGTGCCGCCGCCCCTGCGGCTCGAGAGCGGCGACGACGTCGGCGTGCCCACGAAAAAGACGATGAAGGACCACGAGCGGCGCCGCGGCATGCGCGTCGACGCGGACGTCAAGTTCCAGCGGGACGTCGTCGAGGGCAGCTTCCTGCGGTCCGGCTTCACGCGCATCGAGGTGCTGCGGGACGACGCGCTGCCGAAGCCGCTCCTGCTGCCGCCGCGCGAGCGCCTGCTCTTCGACGAGCTCGGATCGCGCGAGGCGCTCCGGCGGCCGCGGGCGAAGAGGCTGCTCTACATCGGGTCCTTCCGCGCGAACAAGGGCCAGCGGAGCTTCCTGAGCAAGCTCGACGCCGACAGCCTCGGGGACTACGACCTCGAGTTCTACGGGCTGCGCCAGGAGGGGCAGGAGGCGGAGTACGACGCCGTCGCGGCGCTCGTCGCCGACCCCAAGTTCCGCGGCAAGGTGACGATCCACGACGCGCGCGTGTCCCACGAGGACATGATGCGCGCCATGGCCACGGCGTCGGGCCTCGTGCACTACAGCAACCAGGACCGGAACCCGCGCGTGCTCTACGAGGCGCTCTACTTCGGACTCCCCGTGCTCGTCGCGACGCAGGCCATGCCCTACGTGGGCCTGCAGTGCAAGCCCTTCGTGACGCTCACGGACGCGGACGGCGACGCGGCCGTGCTCAACGCGGACGTCGCGGCGTTCGTCGCGGCGCTGTCCGAGTCCGCGGGCCGCGCGGCGGCCATCGGCGACCCGAGCGCGGAGCTGACGAGCCGCAACGACGAGCCCGTGCAGGTCGCGATCCGCGTCTACGTGGAGCGGGAGCTGCTGACGATGAAGGTCTACGAGCAGCTCTGCGCGCGGCTCGGCCTCTGCGACCCGGCGTGCTTCAAGCGCGCGCCGACGCCCTGGGCCAAGGGCAAGTGCGCGCGCCGCGAGCTCGTGCGCTTCGAGAACTGGGTCACGGGGCCCTGGGACGCGTCCAAGGCGCTGAAGCCGAACCTCCGCATCACGACGGACTCGAAGGCGCGCTGCTACGCGAAGAACGCGCTCCAGTTCGACCGCTTCAAGGGCTTCCCCTGGTGGAGCCACAACGCGTGGCCCTCCCACGACGGCGACGACGGCCACTGCGCGGGGCTCGCGCGGACCGCGACCAAGGCCATGGCGGCGTTTTAAAATCTAGTTCATTGCGTCATGGGTCGCAATGTTCACGCGTGCAAACTGCCAAGGCATGCCAGTCCTCTCGCGCGCGTTGGTTCGGTGATGAGACCGCGGGCGAGTTTGATACGCCCCTCGAGGAGCTTGTACCTCGTTTCACGCACGATATATCCCGAACTCCTCCTGACTCCTCAGATTCGTTTTTTCTCCACAAAGAATTTTTTTGGCGAGTTGAGACTTCGATCGACGAAATCGATCGACAAAAACTCATGGTTTGAAAAACGGTGCGCGCGTAAGTGCGTCCGTTGCCCGCCGCAGAGGCCGACAGAAAAATCCTGCAGCGTCTTCTCAGTGCCGCGTGGCCGACGACGCCGAGGACGACGACGACTGCAGCGACAGGCATGGTGCGTATTCGAGACGTGACCGAGTGCGCAAAACCCGTGCACGACTGAAAACCCTTCGCCACGCCGCCCTAGGTCACGGTCCCCACCACGCTGGCGCTCCTCATGTCCCCGTCCGTGTCGGCCATCCTCGCGGGCCAGCGAAACCCGAACCTGAAGCGTCTCGCGGCGCCCCTCAAGTTCCGCGACGATCGCGCGGCCGCGTCGCGATGTTTTCTTCTCCGTCCGTCCGCGACCGCCGCGCGCGCAGGTCCTCGTTCCGCGACGAGCGCGCGGCCGCGTCGCGATGTTTTCTTCTCCGTCCGTCCGCGACCGCCGCGCGCGCAGGTCCTCGGGCCTCGTCCTCGCCGACGCGCCGTCGATCGGTGCCCCGACGCTGTCGCCCCTCGTCTTCGGCACGCTCCGGCTCCACGAGACCGAGGACCCCTTCGCGCTCCTCACCGAGGCGTGGCACCTCGGCATCACGTCCTTCGACTGCGCCGCCGTCTACGGCGGCGGCCGCTGCGAGGAGATTTTGGGCGCCTGGCTCCGCGACGCGGCCCCCGCGGCCGCGAGGGCCGGCGCCGTCGTCGTCACCAAGGGCGGCTGCGGCGCGCCGGACACGTCCTGGGCGCCGCGGCTCGCGTACCGCGACCTCCGCGCGGAGCTCGACGCGTCGCTGGCCAAGCTCGGCCGCGTCGACCTCTACCTGCTGCACCGCGACGACCCCTCTCGGCCCGTCGCGGAGATCGTCCGGTCCATGAACGAGCTCCTCGCCTCGGGCGACGGCCCGCGGGCCTGGGGCGTGTCCAACTGGGCGACGCCGCGCGTCGCCGAGGCCCGCGCCGTCGCCCACGCCGAGGGCCTCGTGGGCCCGACGTGCTCGTCGGTCCAGGACTCGCTCGCGGCGCCGCGCCACGCGCCCTGGCCGGGCACGGAGTACATGACGGACGCGGACCGCGCGTGGTACGCGAGCCACCCCGACGTGCCCGTGCTCGCCTGGGAGGTGCTCGCCAAGGGATTCCTCGCCGGGCGCTGGGACCGCGGCGACGCGCCCCGCGGCGACGCGCCCCCGGACGCGTTCCGCGCGGGCGGAGACATGGGCGCGTGGCGCGACGCGCGGCTCCGGTCGGCCTACCTCACGGACGACAACTTCGACCGCCGCGACCGCGCCGCGGCCTTCGGCGCGGCCCGGGGGCTCGGGCCGGAGCACGTCGCCGTCGCCTGGTGCGCCAAGCAAGCGTACCCGGCCCACGTCTGCGTCGCGACGACGACCGCGGCCCACCTCCGCTCCAACGTCAAGGCCCTCGCGCTCGACCTCGACGAGGCCGACCTCGCCTGGCTCGCTCACGGGCCCTGACGCCGTGCGTCATTGTACAGTCTAACTTGCGTGCGTATACCAAAACGATTACCCGCGCGGCGCTACGAGTTCGCTAAGCGGCGCACGCGCGGCGCTCCGCGAGCTCCTTTCGTCGCGCGCGGCGCTCGGTCTGCTCGGCCTGGATGGAGGCGAGGGCCGCCTCGGCGCTCTCGAAGAGGACGTCGCTCAGGGGCTCGCGTGGCGGCACGAGCGCGACGGAGCCCGGGAAGATCGGCGGCCCGCGGCACGTGCAGCGGCCAACGCAGCGGCACGGCGCGGTCATCTTCGGGATGACGGAGAAGAGCATGGCCTCGCGGGCGCCCGCGGCGGCGGTCACGAGGGGCTCCGTGGCGCTCGTCGGGGCGCTCGCCGAGTCCGCGGGCCGCGCGGCGGCCATCGGCGACCCGAGCGCGGAGCTGACGAGCCGCAACGACGAGCCCGTGCAGGTCGCGATCCGCGTCTACGTGGAGCGGGAGCTGCTGACGATGAAGGTCTACGAGCAGCTCTGCGCGCGGCTCGGCCTCTGCGACCCGGCGTGCTTCAAGCGCGCGCCGACGCCCTGGGCCAAGGGCAAGTGCGCGCGCCGCGAGCTCGTGCGCTTCGAGAACTGGGTCACGGGGCCCTGGGACGCGTCCAAGGCGCTGAAGCCGAACCTCCGCATCACGACGGACTCGAAGGCGCGCTGCTACGCGAAGAACGCGCTCCAGTTCGACCGCTTCAAGGGCTTCCCCTGGTGGAGCCACAACGCGTGGCCCTCCCACGACGGCGACGACGGCCACTGCGCGGGGCTCGCGCGGACCGCGACCAAGGCCATGGCGGCGTTTTAAAATCTAGTTCATTGCATCATGGGTCGCAAACACGCGTGCAAAGCGCTGCCATCGCAAGTCCTCTCGGACAAAGCCACAAAAATCCGGCACCTGGACGTCCAAGGCCCGCGCCCTCTCCCACCGACTCGAAGACGACGCGCGCCGCCTCGCGGACCGCGCCGCCCTCGCCACCCTCACGACCAACCTCCGCTGCGACGGCTAGGGGGCGGCCTCCGGCCGCAACCTGGCTCGGCTCGCCAAGGTACCCCACGAACCCCCCTGGATAAGCCCCACAAAATCCTGGTGAGCAGTCCCTCCGTCGAGTCAAAAGCGGGTACCGGGTTGGCACCTCTTCAAGCATGGACGAAGCAAAGCGGTCTTTCCCCCTCGGCACCCTCCTGGGCCTGTTCGTGGGCATCGTGATTGGAGTCGTCGCGTCGTCGTCGGGATCGCTTCGGCCGGTCGACCGCGACGTCGCGTCGGTACGGCGTCGCCTGACGGACGACAACGAAGATACCGTCGCGACGCTCTGCGCGTCGGCCGCGGACGCGAGCGCGTGCGAGGCGCTCCTCCGTCGGTCGGCGAAACTCGTCGACGACGGCGCCGCGGCGCACCGCCGCGCGTTCACGCAGGACGGCCAGAAGGCCGGGGGCGAGGGCCTCGCGGGCCTGACGCGGTGGCGGGCGCGCACGCTCAAAACCTTGGAGAATCAGTGCGCGTTGAAGTCGATCATGGACCCGGACGCGCCGTGCGCCAAACCGACGCGCTCGTCGGTCATCAACTTCGGCCGGTTCGACGTCGCGGACACGACGTTCGACGCGCTCGCGAAGGCCTACGAGGCCTACTTCCAGAAGACCCAGACGTTCAGCACGACGCGGTGGCTCGGCGTCCAGCTCCAGCAAGATCCGTCCGACGCGTTCGTCATCGCGGACCTGCTCTGGCGCTTGCAGCCGGACCTCGTCATCGAGCTCGGCACGTCCGGCGGCGGCTCCGCGGCGTTCTTCGGCCACGTCATGCACGAGTACAACCCGGACGCCAAGCTCCTGACCTTCGACCCGGCGGATGGCAAGCTAACGGGCACGCCGCTCCTCGAGTGGAACCACCACCACACCCGCGTCGTCTGCGGCGCCGACTGCGTCCACGCGTCGCGGTCGCGCGTCTGGCGCGAGACGGACGTCATCCACTACGTCAACGCCGCGCCCGATTCGCCCGAGGGGCTCGCCGTCGCGGACGCCTTCGCGGCCCGGGCGACGCGGGTCTTCGTCATCGAGGACTCGAACCACCTGCTCCCCGTCGTCTCCGCGAACGTCAAGGCCTACGCGCGCTTCGTGACGCCGGGCCAGTACCTGCTCGTCCAGGACACGCGCCTCGGCTCCCCGCTCCAGGCCGTGAATGCATTTCTCGCCTCGCCGGCCGGGAGGTGCTTCGAGAAGGACCGGCGGCCCGAATACTACGTCATCACCCAGCACTGGGAAGGCTACCTGTACCGCAAGCCCGGCTGCGACGACGCTCGACCGGGGGTATGACCGTCGCCTAAAATTACCGATGCGCACTGACAGTGGCCTCTAGGATTCGTTAGTGGTATCAAACGTACCCGGCCCACGTCTGCGTCGCGACGACGACCGCGGCCCACCTCCGCTCCAACGTCAAGGCCCTCGCGCTCGACCTCGACGAGGCCGACCTCGCCTGGCTCGCTCGCGGGCCCTGACGCGGTGCGTCATTGTGCAGTCTAACTTGTGTATACCAAAACGATTACCCGCGCGGCGCTACGCGCACTTCTAAGCGCACGCTCGGCGCTCCGCGAGCTCCTTTCGTCGCGCGCGGCGCTCGGTCTGCTCGGCCTGGATGGAGGCGAGGGCCGCCTCGGCGCTCTCGAAGAGGACGTCGCTCAGGGGCTCGCGCGGCGGCACGAGCGCGACCGATCCCGGGAAGATCGGCGGCCCGCGGCACGTGCAGCGGCCGACGCAGCGGCACGGCGCGGTCATCTTCGGGATGACGGAGAAGAGCATGGCCTCGCGGGCGCCCGCGGCGGCGGTCACGAGGGGCTCCGTGGCGCTCGCCTGCGTCTCGAGCGACGCGCCGCCGACGCGCTGCATCGACTGCGTCGCGGGGCGCTGCACGGAGCTGAGGAGGCGCGCGAACTGGGTGCCGTACTTGATGGGGCCCGACATGGTGTGTTTGGCGATGATGAGGGGGTGGTTTGCGGCTGTTTAGCCCGGCGCAAGAACGGCAGCGGGCGAGGATGTCACGGCCTGATGGATCGAGAATTGGCATCGCTATTCCAAGCCGGCCGTGATCTTCACAGTTGCCGTCAACGATGCCGTATACAACTCGTTGCGGGAAATGGCTTGAAAACTGACCAAATTTTGTTCATATCCAACCAGAAGTTAATAATAAAACAACACTGGTTATTTTATGAGATGATATTAAAATTTGTGAGACCATCTGTATAAGGGATGGTGTGTTATTTTGTATATTTCTACGCTGTATTCACCGCTAAAGCGCGACCCTTTCTGGAAAAGGGAATGATTTGTATTTGGTATATTCTATTCTATATCTTGTAATTAAATTTATTTTTTTTCTAAAATTTTTTAAAAAAGTTTTAAAAAACGTGATTTATAAGGTAGATAGTGTTGATTTGGATGTGTCTTATAAGGTATAGTATCAATATTACCTAATAAAAAACTGAAATTATGGAATTTAAAAGTATTTCAAAAAACCTCAATGGTATTTCCACGCTGTTTTCACGGCTAAAGCCCGACCCTTTCTCAATAAGGGAATGTATGTTTATATCCTTATACAATAAAGATGGTAAAAATGTTGAAAAACAAGCGTATATTTCCTTCTTCGTTTTTTGAAATTTAAAATTAAAGAGATGATACGACTTTTAGATCGCTGTGATAAATCTAAAAATATCAAGATGCTTTAAAGGCAGCGAACAAGTCTAACGCCTAACAGGCGATTCGCCCTGAATCCTCAACAAGGAGGATTCACAAACCTAAAAAAATAAAAAAAAGAACCAACACAAAGGTTTTTTCAAAAAAAGGTAAAAAATGTTAAAAAATGACCCCCCAAACGTATAATATGTTTCAGCGACAAGATGCCGGGAAGGTGAGTTGCTAGTCGCGTCATAGTGCGTGCTGATTCCTGCTGGACTACCAGTTAGGTGTCATTGCCCGGAATGAAATAATAGTAATTCTGATGATAAAGTTTATTATTATGGGGATTTACTCCAGACTTTATAAAAAAACAGATGTTGAAGTGTCATTTCCTGTTTTAGTCCTATTATGTAGGTTTTTTAAATAATTTGTGTGTATTTCCCCGCTGTATTCACGGCTAAAGCCCGACCGTTTCTGGATAATGTCATTTTCAAAAAAAGGTAAAAAATGTTAAAAAATGACCCCCCCAAACGTATAATATGTTTCAGCGACAAGATGCCAGGAGGGTGAGGTTGCTAGACGTGCCAGAGTGCATGCTGATTCCTGCCGGATGGAGGGGTCATTGCCCAGGAGGAAATCATAGTAATTCTGATGGGAAAGTATTCGAATGTGGGAGACGTTATGTTGTCAAGGAACACTGCTCTGCTTTCCAAAAAAACCAATGTGTTTCCTATATGTAGGTTTTTTATGCCTTTATAAGGGTATGATTTGTATTTTGTATAAGTATTCTTGTAACCATATATTTTTTTTCTAAAATTTTTAAAAAAGGTAAAAAATGTTAAAAAATGACCCCCCCAAACGTATAATATGTTTCAGCGACAAGATGCCAGGAGGGTGAGGTTGCTAGACGTGCCAGAGTGCATGCTGATTCCTGCCGGATGGAGGGGTCATTGCCCAGGAGGAAATCATAGTAATTCTGATGGGAAAGTAATCGAATGTGGGAGACGTTATGTTGTCGAGGAACACTGCTCTGCTTTCCAAAGCGCCAAAAAACGGATGTTGAAGTGTCATTTCCTGTTTTAGTCCTATATGTAGGTTTTTTATGTATTTATAAGGGTATGATTTGTATTTTGTATATTCTATAAGTATTCTCGGAATAAATTTATTTTTTTTTCTAAAATTTTTAAAAAAGGTAAAAAATGTTAAAAAATGACCCCTCAAAACGTATATATATAATAGGTTGCCCCCATTGATTTACGCTTTCTCTTATAGATTGCGTTTTACACGGGCAATAAAGCGAAGCTAGACTTTACGGGCTAGCAACACAGTTGAAAGACGGTCATGGACCGTTTTAGCAAACTCTTGCCTGATTCAATCAAACAAAAAATATACGAGTTCGATAACACATACAAAGATGCATATGACCTTTGCCTCGGAGAAATGATTTATAACGAACTGAACTATGTTCTGAGAAAAAGGCAAGAAAGAATTATCTATACGTATGACGAAAATGACGAAAATACGCCATTATCAAATGGATACATTTCTCCTACAAATATCGTTAGGCAGAGCCAAGAAGAATTTGGGGATGATGATGCTTTGCATCGTTTAGTGGGATTTAAAAAGATTCTCGAAAGAACGTGCAGTATTAAATACACAGCTGTTTTAAATCTTTTGGATGAGTTCAAGATCAAATCTAATGTTATGAAACCAGAGACTCTCATAAAAGAATGTGAAAAACAAATTAAAATAAAAAACATCAAAACTATGATTTTGCATAGAGCGATTTTCCAACGGCTCATTGCTAAATTTCGTTGGCCTGACATTCTAAGGAACCGTGGCCGTCTAATGAGAATGGCATATCGCGATTTGAGAAAGAGATATGACAATCACCGTTTACAATGGCTATACGATGAAACGTGTGTTGAAGGATATACTTTTCCAGAATTAAGCCTATACTATGAAATTTGTAAGCTACTTGCAATCTTGAATCATGATATAGATTTATTCAATTTTGAAGAAAGTCAACCAGATGTAGATTGGAGGATGTGTCATGGAAGCTACGACGAAAATTGGGAAGAAGAATATATTCCTGTGGAGATATATATCTGGGCGATGGATGATAGGTAAAAGAAAAAAACCTAAAAAAAAGAAACGAAAAAAAAGGTTTTTTTCAAAAAAAGGTAAAAAAATGTTAAAAAATGACCCCCCAAACGTATAATATGTTTCAGCGACAAGAGGCCTGGAAGGTGAGTTGCTATTATAAGTCGTGCCAGAGTGCATGCTGATTCCTGCCGGATGGAGGTGTCATTGCCCAGGAGGAAATCATAGTAATTCTGATGGGGAAGTTTTTATTAGGGAATTTGTCCCGGACTTTCCAAAAAACAGATGTTGAAGTGTCATTTCCTGTTTTAGTCCTATTAGGTAGGTTTTTTTTTATGTTTTAGGTTTGTGACCATCACAAAACCTTATAAAAGACCAAATAATATTTAACCAAACCTGATATAAAACTGACCGCGATTTTTGAAGGTCAACATTACTTCACCAAAAGTGGTTAAATTTTTAAAATTTTAGGAAACTCGCTAAAAAATCATTAAAAAGTGGTTGTTAAAATGTAAATTTTTAAAAAGGACGTTGGTGTAAAAAAATCCTTATAAAATTTGCGTCTACGCCCGAATTCTTGTTAAAAAACAACCGAAAAACAAACGTTTTTTGGCAAAACAGTCATTTTCTTGTTAGGTAAAATTTTGACTTTGTCCTTAATACGTGGATTAACTCTCGTTGCGCGCTTCTCGGCGCTGCCGGTTTGTGGGCAGCCTCCGAACGCCCGCGTGCGTCCTCGGCATTGCGCGCAACGATGTACGGCAAGGCCAAGGAAAAGGCCGCGGAGATGGCGACCAAGGCCCAGACGGCGTGCAACGAGGCCGCCGACAAGGCCAAGACGGCCTACGCGGACGCGGCGCCGCTCGCCGCCCAGGCCGGCGCCACGGCGGCCCAGGCCGCGAAGAGCGCCGCGACGACGGCCGAGCAGGGCTGCGTCGCCGTCGCGGGCGAGGAGCGCGTCGGGGCCGCCAAGGGCGCGGCCGCCGGCGCCAAGGCGCAGGCGTCGGCCTACGCCGGCAAGGCCGCCGACGCCGCCCGGGAGAAGGTCGCGGACCTCGAGGAGGCCGCTCGGGGCCGGGCCGTCGACATCGTCACCGCGGGCGTCGACGCCGCCGTGGCCAAGGTCGGCGTCAAGGCCAAGGACGCTCTGGTCGACCCGGACATGCCCGCGCCCGTCGCGTACGCCGCCGTCGCCTTCGTGGACAGCGCCCTGCCCGAGCTCAAGGGGGTGATCTTAGAAACCCTGGCGAACAAGTTCCGCAAGGCCGTCGAGGACGACGACCTCATGACGGCGCCGCCGCCGCCGTGCTGCCCGAACGTCTTCGCGTTCCTCCGCGCGTTCGTGCTCTACCACATGTTCCCCCACGACAAGACGATCTGGGCGAAGCTGCGGGACCCCTGGTGGTGGCTTTTCACGGTGGGCCTCGGGTCGTTCCCGCTCTACGGCGTCCACGTCTGCTGGTGGGCGTTCGTGCTCCTCTGCAAGGACCGGCGCGACGAGTACCAGCTCGTCGACTTCGTCGTCTCCTTCAAGGCCGCGCAGTTCATCTCCGGCGGCGTCCAGGCGATGATGGTCGGGTCCATCCTCTACACGACGTGCATCCCGAACTGCACGGGCGACGAGGCGCCGGGCAACCACCCGAATTTTCGGGTGGAGCTCCTCTTCTTTTTGGTCAAGGGCGGCCTCTGCTGGCTCGCGCTCCTCATGCTGCCCTGCTCCGAGGTCAAGGGCGGGCGCCTGTACGTGCCCCTCAAGTCGGACCCGGACCTCGCGCGCAAGGGCGGGCGGGTCTGGAACCTCATGTACTACGACCTCCTCGTCTTCGCGGTCTGCCTCGGCCTCGGGCTCCAGGTCTACGCGGACGCGGACAAGCCGGGCTGGGTCCAGGACGCGCAGCTCTTCCACATCAAGGCCCTCTACGGCGTGCTGTCCTTCCCCTGGTTCATCCTCAAGCTGCCCCTGCTCTACACGGTCATCCTCGGCCTGAAGCCGACGCTCTACAACAGACGCGGCGACACGGTCCGGCCCGCGAACGCCAAGGAGAAGCGCGCGGCGCGCGACAAGCGCGTCGGCGCCCGGGTCCACCCGGGCGACGACGCCGCGTAACGACGACGGCGCGGCGCTTCGGCGGGGACGCGCTCGTACGCGCGCGGAAGTACGGCGCTCGTACACGTTGAGGTCTGCAAGGCCAACCCGAGAAACCGATGACCATTCCACTCACAGTGTGGTCTAGGCTTCGGACATGATGTAGCAGGCAATGCGCCGCGCGTTCGCCGCGGCGCTGCTGCTGGGCGCCGCCGCCGCCTACGACCACGGCACCTGCGCCGGCTACGCCAACGGCGGCGTCTACACCGGCGCCTCGCTGGGCTTCGAGTGGGACGCCCTGGCAGCCTCCTGCTGCTACGTCTACGACGCCAACGCCTGCTCGCACTCGCCGTCGGGCGTGCCGAGCGCCGTCCCGACGAGCACGCCGACGTCCCTGCCGACGCCGGTGCCGAGCGAGACCTTCCTCCCGACGCCCGAGCCGACGGCCGTGCCCACCGCCGATCCGACGAATCGTCCGACGGCCGCGCCCACCTTCGAGCCGACGTCGGTGCCCACGGCGGACCCGACGGGCTGCCCGACGCCCGCGCCCACCTTCGCGCCGTCGGCGGCCCCGACGGCGGCTCCCACGAACGTCGCCACCGGCGTCCCGCGACGACGAGAGATTTCGCGGCGCGGAGCCAAAAGTCGTAGGTCCCGACGTCCGCGCCGACGACGCCGCCGACGGCCGTGCCGACGTTCACGCCCACGTCTGCTCCCACGGCGTGCCCGTCGACGTCGCCGGCGCCGTCGCCGGCCCCGTCGCCCGCGCCGTCGCCCGCGCCGTCGACGACGCCGACGCCCGCGCCGTCCGCGGCGCCGACGCCCGCGCCCACGCCGTCGCCCTCGACGGCGCCGACCGTCGCTCCCACGCCTGGTCCATCCACGCCGGGGCCCACGGCGACCTTCGGGCCGACCGCGTCGCCGACGCTCGCGCCGACGCCGTCGCCGACGACGCGGCCCACGCCCGAGCCCACGGTCTCTCCCTCGACGAGCCCGACGGTGAGCCCCACGGCGTCTCCCACGACGTCTCCCACGGTCAGCCCGACGGCGAGCCCCACGACGAGCCCGACGCGATCCCCGACGGTCTCGCCGACCGCGTCCCCGACGGCGGGCCCGACGATCGCGCCGACGCCGTCCCCGAGCGTCTCGCCGGCGCCGACCGCGTCCCCGACGATCTCGCCGACGCCCTCCCCGACGTCGACGCACGACCCGACGCCGTCGCCGTCGCTCAGCCCGACGGTGTCGCCGACGGCGTCGCCGACGGCGTCGCCGACGATCGCGCCGACGCCGAGCCCGAGCACGAGCCCGACGATCGCGCCGACGCCGTCGCCGTCGACGACGCCGACGCCCGCGCCCTCGACGTCGCCGACGCCCGCGCCGACCATCGGCGACTGCAAGTCCATCATATCGGACGCCTGCGGCTGCGTCTACGTCCTCTTCGACTTCTCCGAGTCCGCGCCGCCGACGCCGTCGCCGACGATCCCGCCGACGCCGTCGCCGACGACGCCCGCGCCCTCGGCGACGCCGACGCCCGCGCCGACGCCCAAGCCGAGCCTCACGCCCTACCCGTCCGGCGTTCCCACGAGCGCGCCGTCGCACGTGCCCAGCGGGGTCCCGACGAGCGTCCCCACGGCGCCGCCCTCGCAAGCGCCGAGCCCCGCGCCGACGACGGCCGCCCCGACGACGGCGCGGCCGTCCGGCGTGCCGACGGCCGAGCCCACGTCCGTCCCGTCGGCGACGCCGTCGCGGGTTCCGACGTCCTCGCCCTCGTACGCGCCGTCGACGTCTCCGTCGAGCCACCCCACCTCGAAACCGTCCAGCGTCCCGACGGCCGTCCCCACGAGCGCGCCGACGTCGCCGCCGACGAGCCCGCCGACCCTCTTTCCGACCTACGACACCATGAGCCCGTCGGGCGTGCCGACCTCCGCGCCCACGTCCGTGCCCACGGCGCCGCCCACGAGCGCGCCGTCGTCGGCGCCGTCGTGGGGTCCGACGCTCGCGCCGTCGTACCACACGGACGGACCGACGTCCGTGCCCTCGTCCGCGCCGACCTCGGTGCCGACGGGATCGCCGACGTCGCCCCCGACGTCCGAACCGACCTACATGACGGAGCATCCAAGCGGCGTGCCGACGGCCGTGCCCACGTCCGTCCCCACGGCGCCGCCGTCGTTCGCGCCGTCGACGCCGCCGACGCCCGCGCCGACGTCGCGCCCGACGGGCATGCCGACCTCGGTCCCGACGTCCGCGCCGTCCATGATCTGCCCGAGCTTCGCGTGGATCACGGGCCCCGGCGAGCCGAGCGCGGAGCGCGTCAAGACCTGGGGCGAGGTCGACCTCCAGCACGCGACGGTCGAGGCCTGCTGCCGCTTCCGCGCGACGCCCTGCCCGGGCTACGCGCCGACGGCCGTGCCCACGTCCTGCCCGACGGCCGAGCCGAGCTACATGACGGCGCACCCGAGCCTCGAGCCGTCGCTGAGCGCGAGGCCGTCGCCGCCGCCGACGTCCGAGCCCACGTACATGACGCTGCATCCGAGCGGCGCGCCGACGGCCGTGCCCACGTCCGTCCCCACGGCGCCGCCGTCCCCGCAGCCCTCGTCGACGCCCTACCCGACGCGCGCGCCGACGACCGCGCGCCCGAGCGCGCCGCCGACGGTCGCGCCGACGCCCGCGCCGACGACGAGCCCGTCCGCGTCGCCCACGACCTCGCCGACGATCGCGCCGACGCCGTCGCCGACGCCGGGGCCGACGGCCTGCAACTGCACCATGGACTACGGGCGCGCGATCGGCGACGGCCACTTCCGCGAGCGCGGCGACGGCCTGCTCTACGGCTCGCTCCCGGCGCTCAACGTCGACGCGAACACGCTCAGCGACGGCTTCGGCTGGGACGACTACGTCGCGGCGCGGGCCTACACCGACGGCCTCGTCATCGCGAACGCGAGCTACGAGTTCTACTGCGTCTACCGCGAGCAGCCGGGCCCGACGGCGGCGCCGTCCGGCGCGCCGACGCCCATGCCGAGCCCGGCGCCGACGTCGATGCCGTCGACGCACGTGCCCACGGCGCCGTCCTCCTTCCCGACGCCCGCGCCGTCGCTCGCGCGCGGCAAGCTCTCGTTCTCCTCCGCCGTCGGCCTCGTCGGCGTCGCGCCGGCCGCGGTCGACGACGCGGCGACGGCGGCCATCGGCAACGCCCTCCTCGCCTGCGCCCCGGCGCTCGACGCCGTCGAGGACGTCGCCGCGAGCCGACGGCGGCGCTTGAGCGCGAACGCGACGGCGCGCGCGTCCGTCGGCTTCCGCGGCGTCGCCTACGAGGACAACGCGACGCTCGTCGCGGCCGCCGCGGAGGCGCTCCTCGAGGACGCGGCGGCGAGCCTCGCCGCCGCCGTGGCGTCGGGCCTCTTCGCCGCGACGCTCCGGCGCGAGGCGGCGGCGCTCGGCGCGACCGCGCTCGCGAACTGCACCGTCGACGTCAACCTGACGCTCGCGGCGCTCGCGAACGCGACGGCGTCCTTCGCCGTGACGACGCCGCCGCCGAGCGCTGCGCCGTCGCTCCCGCGGTCGCGGGACGACGACGACGACGACGAGACGCGCTTCATCCTCCGGATCCTCGTCATCTGCGCGCTCGCGGTCGTCGTGCCGTCCGTGTCCATCTGGGCGCTCTGCCACGGCTACACGGCGGCCCAAGACACGTACTACTCCATCGTCGTCCCCGCGGAAAAGTACTAAGACCCATGTTGTTTTTTTACGAGGAGCAACCTGCAGTGCAAGTGCCTCCGGCTTTGTTCGCGAACGAGGTGGGGCTGCTCGCACTGGAAGTGGGCTGCTCTCTCCAGCGCAGCGGCTCTAGAGCGCACGCGCTGCTCCGTTGCCATGTGATGCGTTAGCACATTCGACCACGAGACCATGGTGCGTCGCGTGTTCGTGCGCGTCCCGTAGCATGAAACTTCATAGGCCGAGATGACCTACAAGATGTGCGGTCGTCCGCCCGCCCGCGTCCTCTCGCGTTTGACGACTTTTTATCGAGAAACGCAGGTCCGGACATCATCCAGTCCTTCGGCGTGAACGCGGAGTCCGTCGTCGACGGCGCGCGCTTCGAGGACGGCGGCCGAGCGGCGATCGCGTGGCTCGTCGAGCACGCGTCGCCGGCGGACGACATCTGCGCGGACGCGGCCGGCGCGGCGACGGACGGCGACCCGTTCCGGAGGGACGGCGAGAAAGTCATCATTACGCTGACGGGTTCGACGACCACGCACGTCGTCGACTACGGCCCCGCGCCGGAGTACAAGATCGTCCGGTGGGCCGTCGTCCTCGGGGACAAGTGACGACGACGACGGGACCCGGCCATGACGGCCGCGCCGGCCAATGCCCGGCGCGGCCCGAACCCCGGGCGCTCGTCGTAACGCTCCCTCGTCCCGTTCCGACGCGCCGGGCGAGAGGGGGGCAGAAAAAGACGTTACCTGCTGTCGCGCTGCAGCGTGCGCGCGGAGGGTTTGATGGTCTGGGCCCGCGGGTCCGGCGGCGGCTCGACGGCCGCGGCGGCCGCGGCGGGCTCGGCCGCGGCGGGCTCGGCCGCGGCGGGCTCGGCCGGGCCGGCGGCGTCGGCGCGCGCGGCCGCGGCCGCGAGGTTCGCCCGGGTCGCGGGGACGGCGATCTGGCGCGGGAACATGAAGTTGCGCAGGTAGCCCGCGGACACGGTGACGACGCTCCCCGAGGGCTCCGTGCGGCCCTTGAGCACGAAGTCGCGCAGGAGGATCGCCTGGCGCGTCGCGAGGCGCCGGCGGCCGGGCGCGACGCCCTGCGTTGCGAAGACGCGGCGGAGCATCGCTGTCGATTGAGCGGCGACGACGACGAACCGCGACGGCGCGCGCGTCGACGCGAGGTCGGTGACGGCAGCCGCGGCCGAGGCGGCGACGAGCGGCAGATGAGAGCGGCTCGAGCGGACGATGAATCGGTTGACCAAGTTATTGAAGGGGGTGCGCGCCCGGAAGCGTCCGTCCGGGGGGGGGGAGGCAGGTCCGCGGAGGGACCCCCCCGGAGCGAACCAGACCGAGCAGGCGCGGGGCGGCAGCTCCTGAGTGGGCTCGAGGGCCACACCCACCGTACTCGCCGTGGACCGGGGGAAGTTGAGAACGAGGGCACCCGCACCCGGCAGGCAGGAACTCCGGGCGGACCAACCCGATTCACCTCAGGACCACGAATGGCTAGCCGAGGGCGCACGCCGAAAAGGACGCTCGCCGGCCAGCGAGCAGGAGCAGAGGCGGCAGCAGAAGCAGAAGCAGAGGCAGAGGCAACAGGTCTCGGCGGCGTCGGCAGAGGCAGAGGCGGGCAGCAGAGGCAGCAGAGGCGGCGGCAACAGAGGTAACAGCGGCAGCGGCAGCAGGGGCCGAGACGACAGCGGCACCGGCGGCAGAGGCAGAGGCAAGCGGCGGCAGCAATGGAGGAAGAGCCGATGCAGAAGAGGAGGACACCGCGGCGTGGGCGACGAAGAACTCGCCGAACGTCGACGCAAAGGCGCGAGCAAGATCATCGCGCAGCGGCGGCGCGGCCCAAGGCGGCACGCAAGCGGAACCTGAGGAGGTGCACGTGGGAGCACACCCTGAACAGGCGCAAAAAGGTAGAGAAACGAATGGACGCTGGCACATCCAAGCCCACAAACCGAAGCCGCCGGGGGCGCCAACCCGCCCAGCTCCCCTCGAGGCTCGCGCCGAAGGCCTCCAAGCGAGGCGAGCGCGCGCGACAGTCGCCCAACCCGCAGATGACGTCCGCACCGATGGCCAAGAACTGGAAGTCCCCGCGCGCGGCGCCCCGCAGCCCAACCGGTGCGCGCAGCGGGCTGCCCCTTCATGAGCGCCCGCCCGGCCCGACGCAGCGAGCGTCACTATCGGGTGTCGCGCAGAAGCACTCCCGCGGGCCTCCCAAAGGCCGCCCCATAAGGTGGCAGCGTTATCAATCGATCAACGTTGTTGTTGTTGCCCCTCCACCCGGACCTCCCTCGAGTGAGCCCATCGTCTGGCTCCCGCAGCCCCGTCGATGGAGGCGAGCGCCATGTGGGCTCTGGCCCTGGCCGTCGTCGCGATCACGTCCTGCGTCTTCTTCCTCCGGCGCAGCAAGACCAAGGCCGCGCGCCGCCCCAGCGACACGCTCAAGGAGACCGTGGAGACGCTCGCGGAGGAGATCGAGAAGCCCCAGCTCAAGTGCGCCATGTGCGGCATGGACGACGGCCACGTCTTCGGCGGCCTGCGGCGCTGCGGCCGCTGCAAGACCACGTGGTACTGCACGGCCGAGTGCCAGCGCGCGCACTGGCCCGCGCACCGCTGCAACTGCGAGGCCATCGCCGCGCGCGGCGGGCTCAAGCTCCTCACGGCGTCGGGCAAGGCCGCGCAGGTCGCGGTCGACGCCGCCAAAGCCTACCTGGCCCTGCCGCCGTCCCTGCGCGCCTGGAGCCTGCGGCCCGAGGCCGCCGCCATGCGCGAGGACTCGCGCTTCGTGCGGACCAGGGCAGCAAAAGAGAGCGAAATTCCCAACTTCAAAGGCTCATATCTCGGCCGTTTTCCACTCGTTTCGGCTGATTTTTGGACGAGCGATCATCTTTCGGAACGGTCTCGAAGCGTTGACGTTTTTCTCGGAACGCGCGCGCGCGGAACACTCAAGTTGAAGCGACGTTGAATCTCTCTTTTGCTGCCCAGGTGCGGACGGGCAACGCGCTGCTCGACGCGTCCTGCGGCGGCGCGCAGGCCAAGATCCGCGACGTCGTCGACGCCGAGGCGCGGTCCTTCTGGCCCGACGCCGTCGCCTGGGGCGCGCTGCTGGACGTGGCGCCCTGCGACGTCCTCTTCCAGCAGCCGCCGGCGGCCGCGGCGCTCCTCGCGCACGTCTGCGACCGCGCCTTCGACGGCGCCTTCGGCGCGAGCGCGCCGCGGCCGGCGGGTTTAGAGGTTGGGTCGCCCGCGGCGCTCTACGACCACGCCTACTTCCCCGATTTCCGGGACCCGACGCCCGACGTCGTCGCGCGCGTCGTCGCGGACGCCGTCGGCAGGGGCTGGCTCGCGGCGGGCGCGCGCGTTCTGGAGGTCGGCGTCGGCACGGGCGCCTTCTGCCGGGCCCTGCACCGGCGCCTGCCGAACCACGCGCTGACGCTCGACGGGCTGAACGGGCCGTCGGAAGACGACGGCCGCGACCTCGCCGTCGCGCGGGCCCACGGCGCGTCGTCGCGGCTGCCCTGGTTCGGCCTCGCGTCCGACGCGCCGCCGGGCCGCGCCGGCTACGCGCGGCTGGAGCGCGTCGACGTCGCGGATGTGGCCGCGGTGCGCGCGCTGGACCTCGGCTCCTACGACGCGATCGTCTCCGTGTCGACGTTTTTCCTCGTCGGCTTCCCGGACCGGTCCGGCCCGCCGCCGGCGGGGGAGCCGGTCTTGGGGCTGGCGGCGCTGGAGGCGCTGGTCGCGGCGTGCCTGAAGCCGGACGGGCTCGTCTGCGTCGCGACGGCGTCGTCGCCGCGCGGGGGCCACCCGGCGAGGGCCGCCGTCGAGACCCTCGCGTCGGGCGACTACGAGGTGCTGCGCGCGGGCGCCGGCGCCGCCGTGGGCATGCCCCACAAGATCTACGACCTCCGCTTCTACGGCACGTCGAAGGACCTCGAGCTCTCGGCGCTCGCCGCGGAGGCGAAGATGCTCATGGAGATGGGCGCCATCAAGCCGTCGCCGGGCGACGAGACGACGGCCTACAGCGCGCTCGACGCCGAGGACACGCGGGCGCCCTTCTCCGTCAACGACCCGCCGCCGTCGGCCGTCGCGTCCGCCATGGAGTACATCATGCACTCGCCCTGGCCCCGCATCTTCGTCGACGGCGGCCTCAACTCGCCCTTCTGGCTCCTCAAGCGCGACGCCGCCGCCGCGGAGGCGCGCCGCGCGGACTCGCCGCGCCACGCGCCGGGCGGCGACGCCGACGCGGCGCCCGCGGCCGCGCCCGCGGCCGAGCCCAAGGCCCTCTCGACCTTCGGCGAGGCCATGTTCCACCGGACGTCGGCGCCGGCGCTCGAGTAAGATCCGGCGCGCGGGGACCTTAGAAGCCCGGCGGGGGGCCGACGGCGCGCGGGAGCGCGGACGCGCCGAAGGTCGGGAGGGCCTCGTCGCCGCCCGCCCACGCGTCGACGAGCGACAGGGCCTCGCGGCGGATCCGCGTGCGGGCGGCGGCCGCGGAGACGAGCGAGGCCATGGCCCCGGGGACGCAGTCGTCGTTCGCCGCCCGCAGCTCGTTGAAGAGCGCCCGCTGGGCGTCCCACGGCTCGACGACGAGATCGGCCCAGGCGCCGACGTCGAGACCGCACGCTTCGACGAGGCGCTGGAGCATCGGCTCGAGGCGGCCGGCGGCGCGCGTCGCGGTCTCGAAGGCCTCGGTCTGGGCCTCGCGCGTCGCGGCGGCGCCGACGACGAGAGACCCCTCGGGGCAGACGGCGCGGAAGCTCCGGGCGTCCCGCGCGTCGAGGCTCTGCAACTCGTCGAGCTGCGCGTCCCGGTGCGCCCGGACGCGCGCCTGCGTCTTCTCGCGGATCGCGAGCGCCGACGCGTCGATGGTGTCGTCGCCGTCGCCGAGCCCCGTGCCCTCGCGGCTCACCTCGGCGCGGTGCGTGCCCGCGTAGTGCACTCCGGGCAAACGCGAGACCACCGCGGCCATCTTGGCGGCGCCGTAGGCCTTGAGGTCGAAGGGCTTGCGGTACTTGAGGTAGTAGAGCCGCGGCAGGTTCGCGCAGAGGATCGCGCCCGACGGCGCCGCGTCGCAGAGGCCGAGCACCTCGCGCGCGAGCGCTTCGAGCTGCTCGGGCGACGCGGCGCAGACCGTCGCGTCGCGGACGGCCGCCTTGCGGCCGCTCGCCGGGGCCTTCGGCGGCGCCGCCGCGGCGCCCCCGGCGGCCAGAGCCGCGAGGAGCGCCGCGCGCTCCGCCGGGGGCAGCGCGCGGACCCGCGACAGGAGGTCCGGGTCGGGGCCCCGCCGCGCGGCCGCCGCGCCGGCGCCGGCGGCCGCGGCGCCGGCGCCGGCGCGCGCGCGGGCGGGGAGGCGGGCCGCGGTCGGCGTCCACTCCTTGGCCGCGACGTTCATGCCCTCGAAGCTCGGCGCGAGCTCCCCGGCGGCCGCGCCGAGGTCGCCGGCCCGCAGCGCCGCGGCGCCGCGCCGAGGGCGCCGGCCCCCGCGCGGAGGCGATCCCCGCGCGTCTGATGCGAGACGCCGTCGGTGAGCGCGTAGGGCACGCGGCCCTCGAAGAGCACGGTCTCGGCGCAGCCCCAAGGGGTATCGTTCTCGACCCGGAGGAGCCCAGGTCTCTGTACAAAGAGTAACGTCGACTCGTTGAAGGGCAAACTAGACATAAACACGGTCGATTCATAGGTAGGCGTTATAGGAGACGCGCCGGTTTTACTGTTCGAGATGGCGCTGGATCAATGACTTGATCGTGTGGGCCGGGATGAGGTTGAGGTGCGGGAGCGGCGCGTTCGTGGTCGGAGACGTGTGCGCGCGCCCGAACCACGCCTCGATCGCGCGGCGTTCGTACGTGTGGCCGTCCGCCGCGATGACGGGATCGGTCATGATCTCCATGCTGATGGGACACAAGAACTCCTCGGGCACGTTGTCCTCGTCGCGCGGCGCCGGCAGGGCCTCGCGGCGGATTCCCGCGCGGGCGGCGGCCGCGGAGACGAGCGAGGCCATAGCAGGAGTCGAGGTGCCCATGAGCTCCTGGCCCTTGCGCAGGAGCGTCCCCTTGTTGAGACCCTTCTCGATGTAGCCGCTCAGGTCCGTGATCTTCGACAGGTCCATGGACTCGAGGGCCAGCGCGCACAAGGCCTGCTTCTTCCGACTGCGGTCTCGGAGCGACCGGTAGCAGTCCTTGGAAAGGCGGAAGCCGTCGAGGGCCGCGACGAGGTCCTCGTCGACGCGCCCGTTTCCGAGATCATCCCGCAGCAGGCAGCCTCGCTCCTTCTTCTTCAGCTCGGCGAGGACGAACGCGTTCCGGAGCAGGACGCCGAACATGACGCCCGGGTCCGCGAGGCGCTCCGCGGCGCGGCGCTGCTGAGCGAGGCTGAGCTTTTTCAGCGCCTTGGCGACGTTGGACGTGAGCGCGAGCGCGTCGGCGACGCTCCGCAGCTCGGGCGCGAGGGCGTTAAGCTCGCTCGCGGACGCCGCGAGTAGGTGGTTGTGTAAGATGGCCTGGCTGACGTACTTGCTCCGGTCCTTCAGGGGCACGGACTCGTTGACGTGGTCGCCGAGGTCGCCGGGCGCGGCCCGCAGGAAGCGCACGCAGGCGTCGGCGTCCCGGACCGCGTAGGCCTCGAGCGTCTTGCGGCATCGGCCGTCGAGCTTGAGGGCGTCGGCGAAGGCCTTGACGCGCCGCTGGAGCTCGTCCCAGGCCACGGGCCCGTCGAAGGCGGACGTCGTCTCGCGCGGAGCGGCGCGGGGCAGCGGCGCCGACGCGGGCGCCGCGTTCCCGGACGTCGGCGCGCCGCCCGCCGCCTGCCGCGCGGGCTCCGCGCTCGCCGCCGGCCGCGGCGGCTGCGACGAACGGTCCTCGGCGTCGAGCCGCCGCGCGGCCGCCTCATCGTCCCGGAGCCGCTCCTCCCGGACCCGCGCCCGCCGGGCCTCCTCGGCCGCCGCGGGATCGAGGCCCGCCGGCGCCGGTCCCGCCGGCGGATCGCCGGCGAGCCCCCAGGACTCGACGCGCAGCGCGGCGGCGCCGACGACGCGCGTGAGCTCGTCGAGGACGCCGCGCCGGTCTCGGCGGTACGCCTCCGGGTCGCACCGGAGGAGGAAGGAGCCCGGCCACGCGCCGGGCTGCTTGAGCAGCGCCACGGAGTCGTGGGGCAGGCCGGGCGGCCGGTCCGCGCGCCGCGAACCGGGCATGAGGACGACGACTTCGCGGCAGCCGGCCGCCCACCGCGCCGCGTCCTCGGCCGCGCGCGGGTCGAAGTAGCGGAGCGCCCCGCTCGCGGCCGCGTCCCGCTCCGCCCGGTGCGCCCGGACGCGCGCCTGCGTCTCCTCGCGGATCGCCAGGGCCGACACGTCGATCGCGTCGTCGCCGACGCCGAGGCCCGTGCCCCTGCGGCTCACCTCGGCGCGGTGCGTGCCGCCGAAGTGGACGCCGGGGAGCTTGGAGACGAGCGCGCTCATCTTAGAGGCGCCGTAGGCCTTCAAATCCAACGCCTTGCGGTACTTCAAATAATAGAGCCGCGGCAGGTTCGCGCAGAGCACGGTGCCCGACGGCGCCGCGTCGACGAGCCGGAGCACCTCCGTCGCGAGGCCGTCGAGCTGCTCCGGCGACGCGGTGCAGACCGTGGGGTCTGGCTTTTTTTTTGCGGGGCGGCCGCCCCGCGGCGGCGGCGCCGCGCCGGCCGCGTCCGGGCCCTGGCCGCCGATCGAGGCCGGGGACGCTCGAGGCGCGAGCTCGGCGCCGGGCGCGGCCGCGCCGTGGCTGAAGGGGCACGCGAGGCCCTTGTCGCAGCTGCCCTGCTTCCAGAACCGGCAGGGCGGCGGCGCCTTGGGCTCGGCCGCGAATGCCGCCGGTCGCCGGGCGGCGCGCGCCAGGGAGCCCGTGCCGCCCGCGCGGGCCGCTGCGGGCCGCGCGGCGGCCGCTGCGACGTCCGTCGCGGACGCGGTTCCGTAGTAGTCCACGAGCGTGAACTCGACCTCGGTGCCCACCTGGAGGCTTTCGAACTGCGGCGCGTCGCGGCTCCGGAAGTGGACGTCGTAGTCGCGCGAGTTCGCCGCGGGATGCCGCGCGCGCCGAAGGTAGCCGGAGTCCGCCTGGAAGGACTCGACGACGCCGAAGATGCGGTTCACGTCGCCGCCGGGCACGCGCTCCCAGGGGTGGGCCGGCGGCACCGCGGCCGCCGTCGCCGCGCTCGGCGTCCACTCCTTCGCGGCGACGTTCGTCCCGACCGGCGGAACCGCCGCGGCGGAATCGGCCGCGGCGCGCGCGGGCGGGGTCCACTCCTTCGCGGAAACGTTCGTCCCCTCCAAGCTCCGCAGCGAGCTCTCGACGGCCGCGTCGACGGAAGCCATCGGCGAGTCCATGGCCGCGCCGGAGGCGGCCCGCGAGCGCAGGTGGGACTCCCAGGTCTCGTGCGCCCGGCCGCTCTCGGCGATCGCCGCTTGCCAGTCGCCTTTCGCCGCGTGCGCGACCGCGCTGTCCAAAAGGAGCTCCTCCGTCGCGCGGGAGGGGGCCGCCGCGCGTGACGCCATAATAGACTTAAAAAGCCCGCCGCCTCGCGACGCGTGCCACAGGGCTCGCGCTCGCTTAAAATCTGGACCTTGCGAGCGTCCACAGTCCCCCTCGCGCTCGCCTACGACTTACGCGCCGTCCGCGAAGCGCGCGATCATGGAGCGGATCGTGTGGGCCGGGACGACCTCGTGGCTGACGATGCGCTCGTTGGTCACGGGCGACGTCGACTTGCGCGCGAGCCAGGCCGCGATCGCGGCGCGCTCGTACGTGTGGCCGTCCGCGGCGATGACGGGGTCCCGCATGAGCTCGAGGGTCAGCGGGCAGAGGAACTCCTCGGGCGCGCCGTTGGAGCGCCGCACGGCCTCCCGCTTCTGGCCCTTGCGCAGGAGCGTGCCCTTCTTGAGGCCCATGAGGACGAAGCCCGTGAGGTTCTTGACGCGCGCCAGGTCCGCGGACTGCAGGGCCAGCGCGACGAGGGTCTGGTCCTCGGGAGCGAGCCCGGCGAGCGTCGCGACGACCTCGGACGTGAGCGCGAGCTCGTCGGCGACGTCCCGCAGCTCGGGCGCGAGGGCCGCGAGCTCGCGCGCCGACGCCGCGAGCGACGCGCGCCGCTCGACGGCGTCGAGGACGAACGCGGCCCGGTCCCTGGCGTCGCCGAGGTTACTCGGCGCGGCGCGCAGGAAGCGCGCGCACCGGTCGGCGTCCGCCACGGCGTAGCGCTCGAGCGCCGCGCGGCAGCCGTCGTCGAGGCCCTCGGCGCTCGCGAACGCGGCGACGCGGCGCTTGAGCTCGGCCTTCGAGGGCGACGCCTTCGGTGGCGGCGCGACCGCGGCCGTGCGGCTGACCGCGGCGCCGGCCGGGAGGCACGGGCGGCTCACCTCGGTGCCGGCCGGCGTCCGCGCGAGCTGGACGCCGGGGAGCCGCGACATCAAAGCGAACATCTTCATGCCGCCGAGGTCGAGCGGCCGGCCGAACGCTCGGCCGTAGAGCCGCGGCAGGTCGCCGCAGAGCAGCGCGCCGGACGGCGCCGCGTCGCAGAGCGCGAGCACGTCCGCGGCGAGCGCGCGCAGCTTCGCGTCGGAGGCGGGCGCGGGCGCGGGCGCGCGCTCGCGGGCGGCGGCCGCGGGCGCGCGCGCGCGGGACGCGTGCTCGCGGCTCACGCGGGCGTCGAAGGTGCCCTCGAAGCGCACGCCCGGGAGGCGGGACAGCACGGTCTTGGCGCCGCCGCGGGCCTTCAGGTCCAGGAGCTTGCCGAACTTCTCCTTGTAGTGCTGCGGCAGGTTCGCGCAAAGGATCGTGCCCGAAGGTGACTCGTCGACGAGCTCGAGCACCTCGTCGGCCAGCTCCGCGCCGGCGTCGGCGCGGCCGGCCTCGAGGCGCCGCCGCGCGAGCGCGTCGGTCTCGTCGGAGAGCCGCCGCTCCCGCTCCCCCAGGCGCCGCTCCATCTCCAGGAGCCGCCGCTCGGGCCCGTCGACGGGCGGCCGCTCCGCCTTGGCGACCGACTTGACGACCGACGGCCGCCCCGACTTGTTGACCGTGATCTTGTTGCTGCTGCGCGAGAAATACTCGCCATTCAAGGTGTCGCAGGCCGCCTCGGCGCCCGCCAACGTCTCGAAGACGACGGTGGCCGTGCGGCCGCGGCGCTGGCCGACGAGGTGCCCGAGCTCAACGGACGCGATCGCGCCACAGCCCGCCATCCAGGACCGGACCGCGGCCTCCCCCGCTTTGATATCGGGCAGGCCCCGGACGAAGACCGTGCGGCCCAGCGCGTCGTCGCCGCCCGCCGGCGGCGCGGCGCGCCGCTCCGACTTGAGCTTCTCCCGCTTGAGCTGCCGCTTCGACGCGGGCGCGTCGTCGTCACCGCCCGGCGTCACCGCCGGCGCCGGCTCAGCAAGCATGAAGGACGGGATCGCCTTGGCGACGTCCCAGCGGACGTCGCAGCCGCGGAGCTTCGAGCCCTCGCAGGCCTCGAGCGCCGCCCGCATCGTCGCGCCGTCGTCGAACTCGACGTAGGCGAGCTGGAGGGCGCGCTGGACGTAGAGGCCGACGAGCCCGGCGCCGTGGCCCGCGCGGCCGAGCAGGCTGCGGATGTCGCCCTCGAGCTCCGCGTCCGACGTCGGGCCCGTGCCCTCGTCCCAGCGCAGGCCGCCGAGGAACATGGTGCGCAGGCGCCGCGTTTTGCAGTCCGCCGGCTCCGCGCGCGGCCGCCGTTCGCCGGGCGTCGCCGGCGGCGACGCCTCGCTCAAGACCTGGCTGCGGAGGATGCACGCGCTCGGGTCGCCGACCGTCGAAAAGTCCACGGACCGGAGCGCCGACGCGTAGCGGGCCTGCTGCGCCTTGCTGAGATTGCGCAGCATGTCGTAGCAGGCCTCGGAGAGGCGGAGGCCGTCGACGGCCGCGACGAGGTCCGCGTCGACGGCCGCGTCGCCGACGTCGTCGCGCAGCAGCACGCGCTTCTTCTTCTTCTGCAAATCGGCGAGGATGAAGGCGTTCGGATCGCTGATGCCGAACATGACGCCCGGATCTGCGAGGCGCTGCGCGGCGCGGCCCTGATGGTTGCCGCTGAGGTGCTTCTTGAGCGCCGCGACGGCGTCCGGCGCGAGCGCGAGCTTGACGGCGACGGCTCGCAGCGCGGGCGCGAGGCCCTCGAGTTCGCGCTCGCTCGCCGGCGCCGGCTCCGGGCGCGCGGGCGGCTTCCCGAGGAGACCGGCGAGGAGCCGATCCGCGCATATGAGCGTGCTTTTCGTCGGGTTCTTCTTGAGATCCGTAACGATAAACGAATTCGGGTCCGTGACGCCGGACATGACGTCCCGGTCCGCGAGGCGCTGCGTGGCGCGGCGCTGGTTGCTCAGCTTCAGTTTCGCGAGCTGTTTCACGGTCGCGGGCGTGAGCGCGAGCTTGCTCGCGACGGCTCGCAGCCCCTGGTGCGCGAGGGCCTCGAGGTCGCGCGCCGACGCTCGGACACCGCGGACCTCCGTCGCCGGCGCGCGCGCCGCGTCGAAGGCCGCGGCGGCGGCGGCGCGGAGCTTTGCCTTGGCCTCCCGCGCGGTCTCCGGGCTCGGCGTAAACTCGCGCGCGCCGACGTTCGCGCCGGGGGAGGGCTTCGCCGCGGAAGCGGCCTCGGCCGCCGCGGGCCGCTCGCGCGCGGCCGCCGGGGGCATCGACTCGTGCACGTCGGTGATGGGGATAGCACTCATACTGCCCTCGATCTCCGCCTCGTAGAGGACCGCCAGGTGCCCCCCGTCGCGCGCGAGGAGAGACTCCGTCGCGGAGAAGATGGTAGGGGCGCGCGCCGCGTCCCGCGTCTCGACCGCGAGGCGCCGCGCCGAAGGCGCCACCGTCGCGGTCGCCGCCGCCGCCGCCGCGATCATGGCCGCCGCGGGAGACTCCCGCGCGGCCGGGGGCGTCCACTCGACGCTCCCGTCGGCGATCGCCTCGCTTAAAACCGCCAGATGGCCCCCCTCGCAGCGCAGGAAGGACGCCATGGACGACGATGAGTTGAGTACGACGGCGAGCTCTTACACGGAGATTAGGGCTCGGGCAGGCGACTTGGCGCGTGCGACGCGCGACGTCTTGTCGATTTTGCGAGCGACCCGATACGCGCTTGCGCGGAGGCATTCCTTGTGGCGAAAATATGGGAGTTGCAAAGCGGCACGCGCTGGCCGCCGCGATAACCGTTTGCTGCGCCAACGCGCTCACGCCCGCCGTCGGCAGCGTCTCCAGCGCTACGCGCACGCTCACGGTCATCGGCACGGTGCACACGCCGTCGGCGGTCCAGCGCGCGGAGGTGCGCGCCGTCATCGATGCAGCGCAACCCGACGCGGTGGTCGTCGAGCTCGACGCCGAAAGGCTCGAGACGCTCTGGGACCGGAGCCGCGACGCGACGCCGGCCTACGGCGCGGAGCTCGCCGAGGCCGTGCGGTCCGCGCGCGCGCGCGGTTCGCTCGTCGTCCTCGGCGACGCGATCAAGCCCGTGCGCGCCGTCGTCGAGGCCGCGCCCTTCCTGGATTTGGAGCGCATCGCGCGCGGCGCCCGGCTCCTCGCCGGCGCGACCGCCGCGCCGCCGGGCGTCGCGAGGGAGCGCCTCGACGTCGCCGCCGCGCTCGCGAGCGACCCGCGCAAGGCCGCGCCGCTCGCGCTCAGCGTGCTGCTCGCGGTCGTCGGCGCGGCGGTGGCCGCGGCGCCCGCGGAGACCCTCCCGGGCCCGGCGGCGGCGCTGCTGGACGCGCTCGCGGCCGTCGCGGTCGTCTTCTCGCTGAGGGTGGCGGACGTGCTCCTGCTCGCGCGCGACGACGTGCTGTCGGAGAACGCGCTCCGCGCGTTGGAGATGGGCGCCGCGGTGAAGACGGGCGCCCTCGAGCGCTTCACCTTCGACTTCTCGCGGCGGCCGGCGGACCTGCCCGCGGGGCTCCCGGACGGCGATTTGGAGCCGTTCTTGACGCTGCGGAGCCCGCTGCGCGCCGGCGAGCGGCGGCGCGTGAACCTCTTCGAGCCGCGCTGGCTGGCCATGCTCGACGCCATCGACGTGCAAGCGGGAACCGAATTCAATACGGTCCACGCGGTGAACCGCTGCTACGTCGCCGAGGACGGCCGCGTGTCCGCGGACGTCGTCGTGGACCCGCGCGCGTGCCGCGTCGCGACGGTGGAGCGCGTCGAGGAGGGGAAGCGGCCCGTGTCGGGGGACCGGCGCCTCGCCGTCTGGCTCGTCGGCGGCGAGGCCCGGGAGGCGCGGGATCTCCGCGCGGCGCCGGGCGGCCGCGGCTACCTCGTGGGCACCACCGCGGCGGCGCCCCTCGCCGAGGCCGCGCGGCCCCGCGACGCGTCGGCGCCCGTCCACGTCGTCGCCGTCGTGGGCCTCGTGCACGCGAACCCGATCCTCGCGCGCTGCGCGGCGCGGGGCCTGCGGTCCGCGAGCGAGCGCGGCGAGCTCGACGGCGAAGTCATGCGCGCGATCCGGGAGCGGGAGCGGGCCGCGCGGCTCGTCGACCTCCCCTGGTCCGACTACGACCGGGAGCAGGGCGGCTAATCTTCTTTACAACACGATGGTCGCGGCGTACAGCGCGGCGAGCGCCGCCGCGGGGATCCACGGCTGGCCCAGGCAGACGTGCGTGTAGGCCGCGCACGCCGACGCGGCCACCAGGACCGCGCTCCCCGCGCGCGACGCGACGGCGTTGCCGCCGCGCATCGCGAGGACCGCCGCGGCCTCGACGAGGCCGACGAGGCCGAAGAAGCGCAGCCCGATCGGCGCGCCGAGCAGCGCCGACCACACCTTGACGTAGTCGTCGAAGGGCGCCCCCGGCGGCGGCTTGACGCCGAGCACCAGCAGCGATTTGAACAGCGCCGGGAAGAAGAGGAGCGAGCCGACGTTCACGAGCCGCCGCTTCGTTTTTTCGCGCCGGGTCGCGGGCGCCGCGACGACGGCGGGGACCTTGTCCGGCCGCACGTGCACGAAGAGGCCGCCGCGGTTGCCCCGGCTCACGCGCATCGCGTCGCTGATGTACGTCACGTCCAGCCACCCCTCGCCCTTGAGCGGCAACGGCACGCGGAGCGGCCGCCAGCCGAAGCGGCGGCCGCAGGCGAGCTCGACGCACGCGGCGCAGATCGTCGACCCGAGGCGCCGCGGCGCGGCGTCCGTCGGCGCCGTCCACGCGACGTCCGCGACGACCCTGGAGCGGCGCCCCGTGGTGACGACGTTCCGGAAGACCTCGCGGCCCTTGTCGTCCGTGACGAAATTCGAGTACTGCGGCAGCTTCGTCGCCTCGAAGGCCTTCTGCGACGTCGTCGCCTCCTTGGTGGAGAACTGGGCGACGAGCTGCCAGTCGCCCCGCAGCAGCGACGTGTCCAGCGCGCCCGTCTCCTCGGCCTCGACGTCGACGACGAGCGCTTCCACGGCGTCGCGCTTGAGGCCCGTCGGCGCGACGACGGCGTCGAAGAGGCGCGTCGCCGGCGCGGTGAGGGCGGCGCACCGCTGCTGCGCGCAGAATGCCAGAGTGATGAGCGAACGCATTGTGCGCGTGCAACGCTGGCGCATGAGCTTGCGCAAGGCGTGTCTGGGCTAAAGCTGAAGTCAACGAGTAGGAATTCCTAGCCAATTCTCTTGTCACACCCTGTCACGCCCCGGCCTAGTCCGGGCAGCGCGCAGAACCGTCCCGCCGCCCCGCGCGATAGCAATGCCCCCGAAGAAGCGCAAGGCGGCCGCAGCCGATACGCCACAGGCAGCGCGCGATGTCTTCGTTCTCCACGCTGAAAGTGAGTATGACCACCATGTTCATGTCCAAGTCCTCGGATGCTTTGGTGATTGGCTCGACCTCAAATCCACGGTGTTGGAGACGATGGAGCAAGATGCCGTCGCGCTGTTCGAAAACTTCGAAGATTGTGACGAGATCGAAAAGTCCATCGACCACGATAGTCTAGAGGAGGAGTGGGACTACGACCATGGTTTGGAGGTGGCGTCTATTTCGAGCGACGATGGCAGCGACGTATGTTTCAGACTCGTGGTCCACCGCACTTCGCTGCAGTAAAGGGCGCTCCAGGAGGAGGTTACGATGGCGCGCTGGTCAGAGGCGCCTTAGCGTCGGCGATGAACTCCAACCGCGTCCGCGCGTGGCCAGGCTGCCCCGGCACCGCGCGCGGCCGGGCTGCCCCGGCGGCGACGTCGGCCGCATAATTTTATTCTACCGCCCCCCGTTGACGCGCTTGAGCTCCCAGGAGGTCGCGGCCGCGACGGCGACGTCGCCGAAGGCCGCGTGGGCCGCCGTCGACGAGTTGACGACCTTGCGGTACCCGAAGCCGTTCGTGAGGTTGTTCGCCGTGAACTCGACGAGGCCCAGGTCCACGTAGATGTGGAGCGAGAGCGCCGCGCCGTCGGCCAGGGCGATCTTCCGGCCGTTGAGCTCGCAGCGCTTCGGGTCGAAGTAGATCTGGAGCGTCTCGTCGTCCGTCACCAGCAGCGAGCCCGCGCCCGGGTCGCGCATCTTCGGCGCGGCGCCCGAGCCGAAGAGCTCGACGCCGAAGGGCGTGCCGGCGCCGCAGCCCGTGGGCGCGAAGTCGACGCGGAGCTCGAGGAAGAGGCCCGAGGCCAACGCGGACGCCGACCCGGTCGCCGCGCCGGACGCGCGGAGCGCGACGAGCTCCGGGGGAAACGCGAAGCGCGGGCCGCCGTCGGGCGCCGCGAAGACGTCGCGCGGCAAGGAGACGACGGACCCCGTGTGGAGGTAGTCGATGGACGCGTTGAGCTGGGGCAGGTGCACGTTCGGCCAGCCGACCGTGCCAAAATACAGCCGGCGGCTGCCCGCGTCGAGCGCGTTGTTGGGACCGACGCCGCCCGTCTTCCAAATCGATAACGACTCGTGCGTCGTCGTCCCCTGGAGGTAGGCCTGGCTCGACGCGTTGAACCGCGGGCCGCCGGCCGCGGTCGCGACGTAGTCGCCGACGTAGATCTCCTCGTCCAACGACGCGAAGACGGTCGCGTTCGAGCCCGGGACGCGGAACACGTCGGGGCACGAGTACATGGGCGCGTTGGTCTGGGAGTAGAAGAAGACGTCGGCGGGCGTGACGTCGCGCACGAGCGTCCACTCGCCGGCCATGTCGTAGTCGTTCGTGTACAGGAGCGCGACGCCCGCGTGCGCCGCGATCTTCGTCTGGTTCGGCACGGCGCCGCCGGAGCCGACGACGAGGAACCAGCATTGCCCGCCGCCGCCGACGCAGCCGTCGAGCCAGGGCTGCGTCGGGTCGCGGAACCCCTGATAGTCGACGATGCCCGGGAAGGGCGAATACGCCTTCGAGGCGGCGCCGCCGGGGCAGGAGTCCGGGCAGGTCTCGCGGCAGTAGTGGCAGGTCGGGTTGTCGATGCGCATGTTCGATTCGTCGCAGCGCTTCGTCCACGTCTCCAGGCTTAGATCGTCGGCCTCCGCGAAGCAAACGTTCCCGTCGAAGGTGCCGTTTTTTAGCATGGACGTGGTGTTCGCCGTCGCGTAGACCATCCAGACGCTCCCGTTCGGGTGCTGGAAGATGGCGCCCGTGTCGATGATGGCGTCGTCGAAGGGCTCGTCGGGCTCCACGGCGACGGCGTGCTCCGTCCAGGCGACGAGGTCCGTCGACGAGAAGTGGCACCAGGCGAGCGCCAGATTGATCTTCCGGCCCTCGAGGCCGCAGTCGACGAAGATGTGCCAGGTGATCGCGCCGTCGGCGTCGACGATGCCGATGGGGGCCGAGATGTCCTGCGACGCCGCGCTAGAAGGGTAAAAGTGGTACCGCGGCGTCGTTTCCTCCTCCGTGCGCAGCGCCGACTCCGCCTCCGTGCGTAGCGCCGTCTCTGCCGTGCCGAGGCCGGACGCGACCGCCGCGAGCACGAGGGCGAGGCGCATGCCGCGGGGGCAGCCCATGCCAGAAGCCCTCACTTCACCACTTCTTCACCGCGGCAGCACCGACTCGGACAAATCTAAATCGACTCATCTCTCAGCGCCGCTTCCTTGCGCTCTCGCAAGCGTGTGGGCTGCGGTCGGAGAGGGTCGCCTTTTCTGCCCCGCCCCCGGGTCCCCGGGTCCGCAGGCCGCCGCCCCGCCGCGGCGCCGACGTCCATGGGCGTGCCGATGCACGCGAGCGCGAGCGCGCCCGTGCTGCTGCCGCCGCCCACGGGCGAGCGGGCGGCGACGGCGCGGACGCGCTGCAGCACGGCGCGCGCGAGCACGGCGCGGAGCTCCGTGAGCAGCTCGCGGCGCCAGCGCGTCGCCACGGGCGCGACGAACCGGCCGCGCAAGGAGAAGAGCTTCCGGAGCTCCCAGTCGACGCCCGCGCTCGCCTCCCAGGCGTCGCAGCGCGACGGCCTGCCCGAGGGCGTGCACGGCACGCCCGCGACGCCCGGCCCGCTGAGCGTGGACCGGTCCGCGGCGTTTTGCACGCGGCGCGTGCCCAAGGACCAGCGGCGGCTGCAGATGGCCACCTGGGACGCCGCGGTCATCTCGACGGCCAAGGACTGGGTCACGGAGTCGCAGGCGACGCTGGGCCAGTACGACGTCGACGAGGAGCACTCGGAGGCGAACATCCTGGACCAGGAGGCGAAGAAGCGCGAGGTCGCCATCCGGGCCCAGAACAAGCGCCTCTACATCAAGGCGCGCGACAAGCTCGCGCAGCTCGCGGCGCACCGCTACGGGAGCATCAGGGACATGTTCCGCCAGCTCGACAAGAACGTCGACGGCACGATCTCGCTGGAGGAGTTCTCGACGGCCATGAAACGGCGCAACCTCGAGAAGCTCTTCCCGCGCGAGCAGCAGCGCATCATCTTCGAGGCCATCGACTCGAACTACACGGAGTCGCTCGAGGTCGACGAGCTCGTCCGGTTCTTGGACAGCGACGACCGCCTGGAAGATCCCGCGTCCCACGAGGCCATCCCCGTGCCCAAGGACGGCGGCGTCGTCGCCCGCGCCGTCGAGCAGCACGGCGTGTCGGCGCTGCGCATGGTCGAGAAGGTCCAGCTGCCGCCGAACCTGCGGGCCGTGAAAGATAAGATCATCGACGCGATCTTCATCAAGACGCGGAACCAGCACATCATGGACGGCGGCCACAACCAGGCCGAGTTCCTGATGAACACCTTCAAGCAGTGGGACCACGACATGAGCGGGATTCTGTCGCCGCGGGAGCTCGTCCGGGCTCTGGGGCCCCAGCACCTGAACCTCGGTTTGGAGCCCAAGGACGTCCGCGACTTGGTGAACCACATGGACACGGACAACGACGGCACGATCTCCTACAAGGAGTTCGTGCGCTTTCTGGAATTGACGGACATCGAGCCGGATTTTAACCCCTTCTTCGACCACCGCAACCGCGAGCTCATCAACCTGAAGAAGATCTCGGAGGCGCCCTGGCAGTGGGAGGCGACGACGGACGACGCGCAAAAGTACATCGACGACCTCGAGGCGCAGCGGTTGGCCGATGCCGCCTCCACGGAGAAGCCGCCCATCCTCCTCTCGAAGAAGGACCACAGCGAGGGCTACATCCGGCCCTTGGTCTCGTCCCAGGAGCTCGTCGGCTTCAACGAGACGATGCGCCTCCGGAACGCGACCGCGGGCACCAAGGCCGCCCTCCGCGTGCTCAAGGACTCGGCCCACGTCTTCGAGGACATGTCGCTCACGAAGCAGTCCCAGCTCAGCGCCATCTGCCCGCGCTTCGTGCCGCCGCCGCCGACGGACTGGGCGCGCACGGGCTACGGCGGCGACGGCATCGACTCCAAGTCCGCCCTCTTCCTCAAGAAGGAGGACCGCTTCAACACGACGGCGAACGCCTACTTCAAGCCCCTGCTCTACGTGCCCAACAAGCCCGTGAGCCGCGACTGCGTCTCCGACGCGGACCGCGACCGCGCGCACCGGGCTTCCGTCGCGGACGCGCGGCAGGCCCGCACACTCCGGAACCACGAGTCCATCGCCGCCCAGCGCCTCCTCGACGAGCAGATGCGCTTCATGAACGAGGAGCAGAAGCTCAAGCAGAAGGCCACGGAGATGCTGAACTACTTCAAGACGACGTACGAGAAGGACCTCACGGCCGTGCGCAAGGGCCCGCCCGAGGTCATGCAGCGCCGCCAGCACAAGAAGCTCTACACGCGCATGTGGGGCGGCTCGCGGACGAACATGCTCCACAGCGCGAACCGCCAGTCGAACTACTTCGACGGCGGCACGACCGCGTCCCTCATCGGCCAGAACGTCAAGCGCATCCACATCGCGCCGGACCCCTTCGGGTCCAAGGTGCGCGGGACGACATAGGCGCGCGGCGAGGGCTCGCCGACGGCGCCGGCCGCGGAGGCCGCGACGCCCCCGCCGATCATCCGGCGCGTAACCTGGGAGCGGCGTTTTTTTTGCCTTTTGGATGAAGTGCAACAAGCAGCCCCGATTTTTTCTCGGTGCGATGGAGCTCTAGAATTCCAAGATGAGGCAGCCCATCTACCGCACGTTCGCGCTGCTCGTCGCGATCGCGTGCGCCGCGAGCGCCGCGAACGACACGACAACGCCGTCCGCCGCGCCGTCCAGCGCGCCGCCCACGGCGTCGGCCGCGCCGACGACAACACCATCCACCGCGCCGCCCACGAGTGCGCCGACCGCCACCCAGAAACCGAGCACGTCGCGCCCGACGACCGCACCGACCGCCACGCACGCGCCGAGCACGTCGTCGCCGACGGTCGCACCGACGGCCACGCAGCGACCGAGCACGTCGTCGCCGACCGCGACGCCCGCGCCGACGGCGACGCCGACCTACGGCGCGCCCTACCGCCGCGCGGCGTCCTGCGCGTCGCTCGCCGACATCAACGCCGAGCTCGCGCTTCTGGCAACGTCGCGCACGCCGCTCGCCGAGGCCGAGCTGAACATCACGCTCGCGGCGGACGTGCTCGTCGCCGAGGCCGTCGCCGTCGACCACGGCCGCGTGACCATCGACGGCCGCGGCGCCCACGCGCTCGTCGGGAACGGCACGGACCGCCTCCTCTACGTCGCCGGCGGCGCGACGGCCGTGATCGCGAACGTGCCGCGCGCGAGCGGCGGCTCGGCGCGCGGCGACGGCGGCTTCGCGCTCGTCGACGAGCGCGGGTCGCTCCGGATCGCGAACTCGACGATCGCGGGCCACGCCGCGACGACCCACGGCGGCTGCATCATGGTGAAGAACTACGGCGCCCTCGACGTCGAGGACAGCGCGATCTCGGACTGCGCGAACGCGCGGAACGGCGGCGGCCTCGCGGTCTACCGGTACTCGACGACGACCCTGAAGCATTCGTCCATCGCCCGCGCGACGGCCGGCGCCTTCGGCGGCTGCGTCTACACGAACGCCTTCGCCACGCTCGATCTGGTCGACAGCGTCCTCGAGGACTGCGTCTCGGGCGCGAAGGGCGGCGCGATCTCCATCTTCCAGGCCGCGGCGGCGACGCTGACGCGGACCACCGTGCGCCGCGGCGCCGCGGCCATCGACGGCGGCGGCCTGCGCGCCTACCGGAGCTCGTCCTACGTGCTCGTGGACTCGACCGTCGAGAACTGCACCGCGGGCCAGGACGGCGGCGGCGCGTTCGTCGACCAGAGCGCGACGCTGGCGCTCTCCGGCGCCTCGGCGATGGACGGCAACGCCGCCGCGCGCAACGGCGGCGGCGTCGCCTGCGCGTCGTCGGCGCTCGTGGCGCTCGACGGCGCCGCCGTGTCGAACAACGTCGCGCTCGGCGGCGGCGGCGGCGTCCACGCGCCCGCGGCCGTCGTCGCCTGCTCGAGCTGCGCCGTCGTCGGCAACCACGCCCCGAACGGCGGCGGCGGCGGCGTCGGCCTCGCGTCGGCGGCGGCGCTGCGCGTCGACGGCGCCGCGGTCTTCGCGGGCAACTCCGCGCTCCGCGGCGGCGCCGTCGACGCGGACGCGGCCGCGGTGGACGTGCTCGGCGCGGCGACGTTCGCGAACAACAGCGCCGTCGAGGCCGGCGGCGCCGTCGCCGTGCGGGGCGGCGCGCTCGTCGCGTCGGGCACCTGCGCGGTGCTCGCGCTCACGGTAGACTGGTCGGCGTCGACGGCGGCGGCGGGCACGGGCACGTACCTCCTCGAGTGCGGCGGATCCCACCTCGACGCGACGGGCGCGTCCATGGCGGGCACGATCGACGCGGGCGCGGCGACGACGACGTACTGCGTGGCCGCGGGCGCCTGCGAGCTCCGCGTCGGGTCGACGCTCGACTTCAACGGCTGGGTCGGCGGCGTCTTTTCGCTCGCGGGCTCCGCGGACCTCGCGCTGGAAGGGACCCTGCCTCCGGGCAACGCGTCCTACACCTTCGCCTTCGACGTTGCGGCGCAACCCGGCGACGCAGCCGCGTCCTTCGAGGGCAACGCCGCGGCCCTCGGCGGCGCCCTGGCCGTCGACGAGGGCGGCGCGGCGACGGTCTACGCGGCGCGCTTCGCGGGCAACGCCGCGGAGGGCGACACCGTCGGCGCGGGCGGCGGCGCGGCGCGCGTCGGCCCGGAGAGCGCCGCCATCTTCGTCGAGTGCGTCTTCGACGGCAACGGCGCGCCGTCGGCGTCCGGCGGCGGCGTCGCCGTCGCGTCGGGCGGCGGCGTCAGCTTGCGGGCCGTCGACGCGTTCGGGAACGTCGCGGGCGGCAGCGGCGGCTTCCTGTACCTGGACCGGAGCCCGTCGGCCGCGGCGGAGGATTTAGAATGCGCCGGCAACGTCGCGGGCGACGCCGGCGGCGCCGTCTACGTGGCCCAGTGCGACTCCGCGGCCGTCGCGTTCACGCGGCTGAACGCGACGGGCAATCGCGCGGCGAACGACGGCGGCGCCGTCGCGGTCGTCGACTCGACGGTCGCGCTCTCGGCGCCGCGGATCGTCGGCAACGCGGCGCGCGGCGGCGACGGCGGCGGCCTCTATTCCGTGGCGTCGGACGCGTCGCTCGCCGTCGTCTTCGCGGACCAGAGCTGCGGCGACGCGCACGCGGTCGTCGACTGGTCCGTCGCGGAGCCGTGCGCGGCGGCCTTCGGCACGGCCGCGAGCGAGTTCAACTGCGACCAGGCGACGCCGACGTGCGCCGCGCTCACCGAGGGCGACCCGGACGCGAACATCTGCCGCGGCTGCACGTGCAACAAGAACGGCGAGCTCTTCCGCTGGTACGAGCTCGCGCCGCTCGCGGGCGGGGACGTCGTGGTGGGCACGCCGGCGGCGAACGCGAAGCGCGCGGAGGCGCCGTGCCTGGCGCCGGGGCTCTGGAACGCCACCCTCTACGACGCCGAGAACGCGTCGTGGTACGGCGGGACGCTGACTATTGGAGAACTCACCCTGGGCGGCGGCCGCTGGGGCGCGGCGACGTCCGGCGTCTTCGAGGTTCCCGAGACTTCGGCGCGCGTCGCGAGGCTCGCGGGGAACGAGGCGCCCCGCGGCGGCGGCGGCGCGATCTACTACTCGGGCGTGGCGCCCACTCTGGTCGGGGCGCCGCGGGGCATACTCGCAAACAACGCCGCCGCCTACGGCGACGCCTACGCGACGCCCGTGTCCGCGCTCGGTGCGACGAACGCGTCCTACGAGGGCAAGCCCAACTACGACCCCGTCGACGATCCCGTCGTCGTCATGCTCTTCGACGATCTGGGCCAAGTCGTCAAGACGGCGAACGACGTCGTCGCGACGCTGGTCGTCGCGGACCGCTTCCTCGGGAACGCGTCCATCATCGACCCGACGGCGCTTTTTGTAGAAGGCGTCGCGACGTTCTCGCGCGCGGTCTACGTCGCGGAGCCGGGGGCCCGGCTCTCCGTGCGCGTCCAGGTGTCCCAGTACGACCTGGCCACGCCCTGGCTCGCCGTGGCGATCCGCGCCTGCGTGCCGGGGGAGATCAACGTCGGCGGCCGGTGCGTCCCGTGCGAGCCCTTCACGTACTGGAAGGCGTCCGCGACCGCGAACGCGGGCACGGGCTCGTGCAAGGCCTGCGAGAAGGGCATGGCCTGCGACGACGATTTTGAATTAGCCGTGGACCCGGCGCGCCTGTTGGACACGCTCCTCGTCGACGCGGGCCACTGGCGCGGCGCGGCGGCCGCGGAGACGGTCTACGAGTGCCCCTGGGGCCGGTCCGCGTGCCTCGGCGGCTCGGACGCGACGGGCGACGATTCTTGTGTTGATGGCCACCGGGGCCCGCTCTGCGAGGCTTGCGATGTGGATTGGCACTTCAGCATGGCCAGGGGCAAGTGCCAGAAATGCGAATCGTCGTCCAAGGCCGCGACGTACGCGCTGTTCGCGAGCTTGGCGCTCGTCGCCTGCGTCTGCTTCTACTACGGCGACTACGTCGCGACGCGCTACCAGGTGCGCTACCAGGCGTCGCGCGCGTCGCAGCTCGTGACCTTTGCACGCTTGAAGGTGCTCTGGGTCGGGGTCCAGAAGATCTCGTCGGTGGAGCGCGTGTTGAACGTGCGACTTCCCGACCCGCTCCGGTCCTTCGTGGACATGTTGAGGTTTGTGAACTTCGACCTGGGGCTGGCGCCCGTGTCCTGCGTGTTCTCCTACTCCTACTACCCGAAGCTCCTCGTGAACACGCTGGTGCCGCTGGGCCTCGTCGTCGCGATCCTCGCGGCGCTGCCGTTACGTTTGGCGATCTACGACGGCCACGACCTCCGGTCGTCGCTCAAAAAGTCCTTCAGCGCGGGCTCTTTGTCCTTCGACGAGGGCGACGGGCCGCCGTCGCCTCTCGCGCCCGCGGAGACGATCGTCGAGCGGGCCGTCGCGGACGCGCGGACGCGGCGCGTGCGCAGCAGCCACTTCCACATGGCCGTCGCCGTCGCCTTCCTCGTCTACCCGACGACGTCCGCCGTCATTTTGGAAGCCTTCGCCTGCGAGACCTACGACCGCTACCCGACGACGCTCGCCTCGGACGCGGTCACGCGGTGCGGCACGCCGCGGCACCGCGCGTTCCAGATCTACGCGGGCGCCTGCTGCGCCATCTTCGCGCTCGGGACGCCCCTCGTCTTCTCCGTCCTGCTCTACGCGAATCGGCGGCGCATCCACCCGCCGGCGAAGGACCGCGCGATGGCGACGCGGCTCCGGAGCTACGACGCCACGCTCGACACGATCCGGAGCCTCTTCGACGCCTACCGCGTGGACCGCTTCTATTTTGAAGTCATCGACATGTGCCTGCGCGTCGTCATGATCGCGCTCATCCGCTACGTGGGGCGCGCAGGGCTCCGCGCGTTCGTGGGATGGCTGCTGGCGCTGCTCGGCGTCGTCGTCTTCCGCGAGGTCATGCCCTACGCGGACCGGTCGACGAACCTGCTGGCCGTGGCCATGCAGTGGTGCGTGCTCGCGGTCTACGTCGCGGGGTTCATCGTGGCGGCGCGGCCCTTCGGGTACGGCGCGCTCGGCGAGAGCGGCGTCGGTGCCCTGGTGCTCGCCGCGGTGCTTTTTGTGTTTGGGCTCTTCTTGGTTTTTGGGCTCGAGGAGAAGCAGGTGCAGAAACGTTTAAAACTGGAGCTGCGCGAGCACGAGTTCCGCGAGGTCGAGGCGGATCTGGACATTATGGAGATGCGGGCGGCGATCGCGCAGCTCCGGGAGAAGTACGAGCCCCGGACGTCCGAGGACGAGGAGGCCATCGACGTCACTGAGGAGCAAAAAAAAAGCGAGGGCCGCCTCACGCTCCAGGCGACGACGCTCCGCCGGCCGTCGTCCTCAGATCTTTTGGGGAAGGCCTGCGGCGCGTGCCGGCCGCAAATAAAAGCCGCGAGCGAGCCGGACCTCGGCGGCGACTTCGACCGGGGCCTTTATCCTTGTTTTGTGATTTCCCTGAGCCGCCTGGAGAAGTACCGGCGCTGCCCCTGCCACGAGGACGCCTTGCTCGCCGGCGATTTAGAAAAACTGACGCCGCTGTCGTCCGCGCCGAGCTCCGCGTTCACGTACTTCATCTCGCAGAACTGGGAGACGTTCGGCGACGACCCCCACCCGGACAACGCGCGGAACACGAAGCTCGAGTGGCTCAAGAACTTAAGATCCCACATGCAGCTGCCCGACTCCGTCGCGGACGTCTGGATCTGGTGGGACGTGATCTCGATCCCGCAGCGGAACCGCCGCGAGCAGGTCGCGGCGATCAAGAGCCTGTGCTACTACACGACGCTCTGCAGCCGCTTCATCCCCCTGGTCCGCGACGAGGACGAGTGGCGCCGGCTCTACGGCGAGGCCATCGGCCACCCGAAATTTCCGACCGCGGGCACGCTCCGCACGTACTCGGGCCGCGGCTGGTGCCGCCTCGAGGTCGTCGCGGCGCTGGCGCCGAAGAAGTTCGCCGGCGGCGGCGTCCTCGTGACCGACGCCTGGCGCCCGGGCCCGCGCAACGTGCGCTTCCGCTTCCACCACGACCCGTCCGACCCCGGCGTCGGGCCCTTGGTGACGTCGAAGCTCCTGGCGAACCCGGCCCTGGGCAACTTCACCGTGGCCGGCGACCGCGAGACGATCCGGCCCGTGCTCGTCAAGTTGGCGCGGCGCTACGCCGAGTACGCCGCGTCCGGCTCCGACGTCTGGGACGCGACGGTCGACGTCCACGCGCGGCCGGACTGGCTCAAACAGCTCGCGGACGTGGACCCGCGCGAGGTCGAGCACGCGTCGCTGCTCCCGGAGTACCTGTCCCTGCGCCTGCGGCCGTCGCTCCACGGCAGGTGGACGCGGCTGTCCGGGGCGCCGTCGTCGCCCGCATCGTCGCGCGCGGAGTCGCCAAGGTCGTCGCGCGCGGAGTCGCCCGGCGCGCTCCGCCACTCGCCGCGCCTCGCCGCGCCGCCGCCGGCCGCCTGGGCCGCCGTCGTCGTCGCGCCCGACGACGCCGCCGCCGACTGTAGCTGCTTCGGCGGCGAGCCGCTTAAGTAGGATACGAGACTTACGGTCCGAGTCGTCGCGCCGACGTCGGCCCGCCGACGGCGTCGTCGATGGACGCGGCGAGCTGGCCGAGGGCCCCGGCGCCGGCGCCCGCGAGGCGGCCCCCGACGGCCGAGAGGCCCGGGGCGTCGCGGCGCGCCTCGAGGCGCTTCGCGCTCTCCGCGGCGAGCTGCCCCGCGAAGCGCGCGCCGACCTTGGCGACGGCGCCGCGGCGCGCGCCCGCGGCGCTCGCGAGGCTCGAGAGCCGCGACGCCGCGGACTCGAGGTCGGCGAAGGCGGCGGTCGTCGGGGCGCCTCTGGGCGACGCCGGGAAGAGCGACGCGAGGATCTCGAGCGTCTCGAGGCGCCGCGCGTCCGTCGCGTCGAGCTCGTTGACCTCGGCCGCCGCCCGCAACAACTCGAGCGGGAGCGCGGGCGCGAGGGGCAGCAGGTCCGCGCCGAGGGCCGGGAGGCGCGCGAGGGGCGCGAAGGGGCGGTTCAGCGCCTCGCGGACCTTGGCGTCGAGGCCCACGGCGGCCTCGCGGAGGATGAGGTCCTGGACGAAGCTGCCCTTCTCGCCGAAGACGACGTCGACGATCTGGTCGCGCGCGGCCGCGAGGCCCGCGTCGGACTCGCCGCGCCCGCTCGCGACGGAGACGGTCGACGAGCTATAGGTCTGTAGGCCCGTGGCCACATCCCGCAACTTGTCGAGCTTGAGCTCCGTGCCGTCGGCGCCGTAGAGCAGCGTCCGGAGCGCGCCGCGCGCGCGCGGCGAGTCGTCCGAGAGGAGGCGCTTCGCGAGGTAGGGGAAGCACTCCTTGAGGATGGCGTAGTTTTCATCGGAGGACAGGCCGATGCCTTCCAGCGTCGCGAACGCGCGGGACATGTAGAGAAAATATTCCGGAATGGCGAAGACGTTGGCATTTTGCTGTTGGAGCTCCTCGATCTTCGACGTGATGTCCGCGGTCGTCGACGAGGTCCGCCCCATCGCGTCCTCGGCCTGGTTCTTCTTCCAGTCTTCCCGGAAGAGCGCCTGCCGCTTCTTCGTCGCCTCGGGCGAATCCAGGTCGTCGAACTCGGCGAGCGCGTCCGCGTACTTCTCCTTGTTCTGCTGGACCATGCGCTGCATGGCGCCCTTGGGCCCGCCGCCCTCCGCCGCGAGCTTGAGCATCGTCGAGATGCCGTAGGTGAGCCCCGAGGACCGCAGGTCGTCGATCTTGTCCTCCGGCACGAAGCCCAATTTCACGAGGTCGTCGGGGACGCGCTCGTACTCGTCCGCGCTCAGGTCCGCGATGAACTCCAACAGCGACAGCTGGAGGTCTGAGCGCACTTCGAGGCACATGCCGAAGTCGAGGATGCAGAGCCGGCCGTCCTTGGTGCGCAGGAGGTTGCCGGGATGCGGATCGCAGTGGAGCGCGCCCGTGTCGAGGAGCATCGTCAGATAGGCGTTGAGCGCGACGCCGCACAATCGGGGTACGTCCGCCGCGTCCGACGTACTGAGTCGCTCGCCGTCGACCCATTTTGTGGTCAGGACGTGCTTGGAAGACAGATCCTCGACGACCTCCGGCGCGAAGACGGAATTCAGGCCCCGCGCGGCCATGGCCTCGGAGAACGCCGCCGTCGCCGCGGCCTCCTTCTCGTAGTCGAGTTCGTCGATGAAGCCCGCGCCCCACGCGTCCACCAGAGAAACGAGATCCGTGTTCGACTCGGTCATTTTCGCCCAGGTTGGCGCCAGCCGCCGCAGGAGGTAGACGTCCAAGGCCACCTCGCGGAGCACCTTCGGCCGCTGCACCTTCAGCGCGACCTCCTCGCCCGTACTCCGCAGCCGCGCGCGGTAGACCTGGCCGATGGACGCCGACGCGACGGGTTCGGTGCTAAAAAACGAAAAGGTCTCGTCCACGCTGATCCCGAGCTCGTCCTCGATGATGCGGCGGCCCTCGGCCGCGGGGAACGGCGCGACGGAGTCCTGCAGCTGCGTCAGGCCCGCGACGTACGCCGCGGGCACCAGGTCGCTGCGGATGCTCAGCGCCTGGCCGACCTTGATCGACGTCGTGCCGAGGCGCGTCACGACGTCGAGGAGCTCGTCGGACCGCCGCGCGGCCGTCGCGGCCTCGCGGCCGAGCTTCTTGTCGAGGACGACGTTCGCGACGAAGCCGCCGCTGACGCGCGCCAGCTCCAGCAGCCGCCCCAGCGACTCCAGCGGCCGCGCCGCGAAGTAGGACTCCGCGGCCGCCGCGTCGTAGCAGGCCTCGGCGTACGGCACGTCGGCGGTGTAGGCGCCGCCGGCCAGCACTGCGATGCGATCGGGCGCGCTCGACCGACCCACCGGCGCGATGCGAGCGCGCCGAGACGACGGCGCGGTCTGCAAGCGAGGCGCTGGCGCGAAGGCACCGCATGCCACGAGCAGCAACGCTGCGGTGCTTGCGACGCTGCCAGCGTGGCGCATCATTGCGGCCAGCTCGAGCTTGCGAGCCCGGTGCAACGCTGGCTCAATGAAGCTGAGCGAACGCGCTTCGCGCGCGCGCCCGCGGCTCGACGAGCGTGTCGGCGCCTTTTAAACCTGCGGGCTAGAGTCGAGAACCAACGCGTGCTCGTGGTGTCGTCGCACGGATCCTCTTCTTCGGCGGCGGCGGCGGCAGGGGCGAGATGCGGACGGTGTTGCACCGGATCATCTCGTCGAGGTGCGGCTTGAGGTGCTTCCAGTTGCGGTTGTCGTAGACGCCGACCTTGTCGCCCTGCAGGTTCGTGGACAGGGTCGCGCCGATCCAGCGGTCGTCCCGCTCGCGAATCTCCAGTCGCGTGCCCTCACGTGAGCCGAGGCCTCGGCGGCCGCGGAGGCGCCACGGCGTGCCGCGTGCTCGTCGTCTACCGACCGCGCGGCCTCGAGGCCTTCGACACCATCGAGGCCCGGGCGGCGGAGGCCGCCGCGAAGGCTGAAGGCTGCCTTCTCCTCGTCGACGCGGTGTTCGTCGACCATGCGGCGCACCTCCTGGACGTCCACCACCTTGACCTTGCCCCCCTCCGCGCGCGCCTCCAGCTCTTTTATCGCGACCGCTACCTGGTTTTGCATTCCACAGATCGCCTTCCACAGCTCGCCCTGCGCGCGGCCCGGGGGAAAGAGCGGCGCGGCGTCGTCTCGGACCCCCCGCCTCGATGCGGAGAGCTCGAGCATCGAGCTGCGGCCCACCACCAGAGAGCTTGCCTTCCGCAGTCGCGCGTTTCCGTCGACGCGCGCGCGGTCGCACCCGCGGTGCACCAAAAAAACCATGCTCTCCATCCCCGTGAAAAAGTCCCAGTCGAGCGAGGGCTTCGGCCCGGCGCTGCTGACCTACATCCAGCGCAACTACGGCGAGGGCGAGGCGGCGCGGTTCCGCAACCTCGCGAGCTCGCTGGACGGCGCGCGGTCCGCGTCGGCCGAGGCGGCGGCGGAGCTCTGCCGCCTCGAGAGCGAGAGCAGCGGCGAGTCGTCGGCCGTCGCCGTCGCGCGCGTCGCGCTCGCGTCAGGGCCCGACCGGAGCGTCGAGGGCGCGGCCGTCGAGGCGTGCGCGCGCGACCTCCGGCGCTACGGCGTCGAGCTCCTCGCGGCGCAGCGGCGCGTGCCCGACGCGGACTCGGCCATGGAGTCGTTCATGTGCGAGTGGGACGACGGCTGGGCCCGGAGCCGCGCCGCGGCCGACGCGCCCGAGAAGGAGGAGAAGAAGGACGGCGCGCGGAGCTTCCTGCAAAAGGCCAAGGGCCACCTCAAGGAGCTCAAGAAGGGGTCCCTGAAGAAGAGCGGGTCCAAGTCGAGCCTGCCGCCGCTGGAGCGCCAGCGGGGGAGCTTGCGGCTCGAGCGGGGCGCGACGCTCTACAATTTGGCGTGCTGCGAGTCGTTCGCGGGCGCGGCCGTGGACCGGTCCGGCGAGCGCGGCGTCAAGCAGGCCTGCCGCCACTTCTTGAAGGCCGCCGGCCTCTTCGAGTACCTGCGGCGCTCTTCTCGAGCCGCGGGCCGCCGGGGCGCGGCCGCGGCCTGGGGGTGCCTCGTGCTCGACGGCGACGACGTCGTCGTCGACTTGTCGGTGGGCGCGCTCGACTTCTGCGAGCACCTCATGCTCGCCCAGGCCCAGGCCTGCTTCTACGAGAAGGCCATCGCCGCGCGCCACGCGGCGGAGGCCGAGGGCCGCGCGAACGGCGCGGCGCTGGGGCCCGGGGTGGTGGCGCGGCTGGCGGCGCACGCGGCGCACTGCTACTGGAAGGCGCGCGCGTCCTGCGCGGAGCCCGACGTCGAGGACGAGGACCCCAAGGCTCTCGAGGAGCTCCTCGGCACCAACGCCAGGGAGCAGGCGTGCTTCGCGGAAGGGGCCCATGAGTCTTTGTTGCCGTCGTTTTTAGGATCCGCGCCCGCGGCGAAATCGAAGCTCCGCAACGTCGACGACTCCTGGGCGAACCACGCGGAGTTTCAAGCGCGATGCTTCGAGGCCGCGGCGTCCTTCTGGAGCGCCAAGGCCAAGGAGGAGGAGGCGGCCGCGTCGGGCGAGGGCTACGGGCTGCTCGTCGCGTACCTCGACCTCGCGGACCGCCACTGCGTCGGCGCGCTCCGCGTCGCCGCGCGGCCCCGGTGCCGCGCGTCCGGCGACGCGCTGAAGACCGTCCAGGGTCTACGGGAGCTCGCCAAGTCCCTCCGGGACGCCGTCGCGGCGGACAACGCGCAGATCTACCGCGAGACCGTGCCGCCCTGGTCCGACCGCGACGCCGTGCCCCGGCCCAAGGGCGCGCGCCTCGCCAAGGCGACGCTCCCCGACGCGCGCTTGATCGGCGCGCCGGGCACGAAGCCGTCGGCCATCGTCACGGCCGCGGACAAGGCCGCGGAGCAGCTCTTCGGCGAGGAGCGGCAGGCGCGGTCCGCGTTGCGCGGGCTATTGCCCAACTCGGCGCGGTCCGCGGTCGAGGCCCACGCGGAGGCGGCCGCGCGCGACAGCAAGGACGCGCTCCAGCGCTGCGCCGACGCCGACGAGTTCGTGCGCGCGGCGCTCCGGTCGCTCGACGTGCCCCAGTGCCTCGACGACTTCGACGACGCCGTGTCGTTCGCGACGCACGGCGCGCTGCCCGAGGGCCTGCGGCGCCAGTGCCAGGCGTCGCGGAGCCGCGCGGCGACCTTCTTCCACGCCGGCGACGGCGACAGGGACCTGAGCGCGTGCCTGGACGCGCTGCGGGACGAGCGCGCGCGCGCCGAGGCCGCGCGCGCCGACGCGGCCGCGGCCGTCGACCGCGCGCTGGCCGAGGAGGACCCGGACAAGGATGATGATGATGGGACGAAGCAGGACGACCAGGCGGCCCTCGCCGTCCAGCGCATGCTCGGCGCGCTGCCCGGCGCGGCGCCCGCGACGGCGGAGTCGGCGTTCGCGGCGACGCGGCGCCGCGCGTTGGCCGCGAAGCAGCGCCTCGCGGCCTGCGCTGCCTCCGACGCGCCCATCGACGCGGAGCTCGACGACCCGGCGCTGGAGGCGGCGCTGAAGGCGCTCGACGACGCCCTGGACCGCGACGCGGCGCCGACCGTCGCGCATTCCTTGGAATTCGGCGCCGACCTCGTGGACGCGGCCGCGGCCTGCCGCGGGGCCTACGGCGCTTTGGCGGCCCACGGCGACGCGCGGCGCGTCGCCGCGCGCAATTTGGCCGCCGTCGCGGAGAAGGAGCTCGGCGACGCGCTGGGCCAGGTCGACGTGCTCGCGGACGGCGGCCTCCCGCTGCTGAGCAACGACGAGCCCGCGGACGAGGCCGCCTGGCGCGACGACGGCGACGCGCTGGACCTCGCCGTGCCCGACGAGTCCGAGGACCGGCGGCCCGAGGACGACGACGTGCCGCCGCCGCCGCCGCCCGCCGTCGCGCGGTCGCCGCGCGGCCGCGAGCGCGACGCTGTCGAGGCGTCGCGCGCGCTGCTCGCGGCGCTCCAGCTCCGCTACGACGCCGTCGTCGCGCCGGAGGTCGACGCGGCGCGCCGCGCCTCCGAGGCGCTCCAGGCGCTCGTCGACGATTTGGCCGCGCGCCGCGCGGACTTCGACACGGCCGCGCGCCGCGACCCCGCCGCGCGCGCGGCCGAGGACGCGCTGCGCCGCGTCCACGCCGGCGCCGCGACCTTCGAGCGCCTCGCGGCGAGCCTCGCGGAGCGCACGTCGACCTACGCCGACATCTGCCGCGAGGCGAACCGCCGCGACGCCGAGGCCGTCGACGACGCCGCCGCCGACGCCGCGGCGGCGGCCTCCGCGGCGCCGCCGGTCTACGGCGACGCGCCGGCGGCGCCGCCCGTCTACGGCGACGCGCCGGCGGCGCCGCCGGTCTACGCGGACGCGCCGGCGCCCTACGCGGCCGCGGCTCTCCCGGCCTACGGCGCCGCGCCGGCTCTGCCGGCAGGCTGGGCCGCGCCGGCGGCGCCCGCCTACGCCGCACCAGCGGCGCCGGCCTACGGCGCACCAGCGGCACCCGCCTACGCCGCACCAGCGGCGCCGGCCTACGGCGCGCCGGCGGCGCCCGCCTACGGCGCGCCGGCGGCGCCGGCCTACGGCGCCGCGCCGGCGGCGCCGGCGTTCGCCGCGGCGGCGCCGACGTACGGCTTGCCGTCGCTGCCG